CACGCCCCCCCCCCCCCCCCCAATATCTTCCATTTTGCTGAGGCCTCCTCTCCTCCCTCCACCTCATAGAGGACTTTGTCATCGACGCCCCCCCCCCCCCCGCCCCCTGAACAAAATTCTGGCTACGTGCCTGCTTCTCGTCAAGTTGTAATTACTGCAGTACATTTCTTTTTCGGGGTGTACACAGTGGGTGGCCGGGGAACCAATAATATAACTGAACAAATAAATTACACAAACGAGTCGCCGAAACAGCACGTTGCTTCTTGGCGAGTGTCGAGGCCATATTGGCTGAAAACCGGCTTCAATATTGGCCGGATGTACGGTTTTGCGCCTCGTCCCGACATCCGGCAGGTATGGGTGTACCGATGCAAATAAACGATTTATGTCTAATAGCACTGGCACCACTGATATCTTAGTAGGCTGGATCGCGGATAGAGGCCTGTATTGCTGGGGTCGAGCGGCACCACCGGCAGTCATCGCTTGACACGATCTAATGCATGGTATAGGAGAAACGGGAAAACTAAATTTTATTGCGTTAGTAGGTTGTTCTCTACCATGAAACTTCTATCGTGTATCCGGAAAAAACAGTTAATATTGTGGGCAAGAATATTAAACGCGTTAGAATACCAATCTTGTTTAACTAAATGTTGTGTGGTTGAGGGTCGAGGGCGACTTTGTTGGGCGTTAACTGTGATGTGTTTAATGAGGCAAGGGCTACCGAGAGTTATTGTGGAGTCATCCGTGACTTCGGAGTCATCAAAGCTCCGCAAACGATAAGTTAGAAAGCCTTTACTGGGGACATTTGCATCGTTTTAACCGCTTGTACATAGTACTTCATGGTGAAAGCTTTTTCTTTAAACTGCTGTGAGGGCTTCCGTGACAAACTGAAACTCGGAGCGTGCCGTTCAGTCGCTGAACGTCCCATTTATTTAGCAACCGAAGCAAGCGACGTCGGTAAAATCAATGGTGCTACGGCCGATTTTTTTTTTTTAATCGATGTTCAAACGCTTGACGAATGCCTATTTGATCTTCAAGAACCCGACATAATCATCGCAGCACGTCATAAAATGCTTGCCCTTGAGCACCGCGTACAAGCTTCCAATTTTTGGCGTGTTTCTCCCTTAGACTTGCGTGTATTGCCTCATGGTGTAATAGGCCAAAGCAACAAGGACGAAAACGAAGGGAGAACTAGACAGGAGGCGGCGTATTGCTTGTCGTCAAGCAATGGCCGCAGGTGAGGCCAGTGACAGGCTCCCGATTCGTCATCCGGACTTGCACTGTGAGAGTTCTAATGCATTACACCCGCGGAGTGCTGCACGGAGAACAGGCCCCGAACGAACTTGCCGAATGCACCGAGTGCAGATTGATGCTGTCGCCCTAGATGTTGTAGAAAAGTACCGACCTCAAACCGAAACTAGCGCCTTTTTGTTCGACGTGATGGGTGGGCATGCGAGAGTGCCCAGTCGCTGCCATCGTTTATCTATAAACGTTGGTTGCTGCAACGTGGAACTTACAATTGCGATGACTTCCAATTAAGCAACTTGGCTGTCAGAGATATCTACAGCCGGTGGAAGTTTCCAAAACCAGCTGACTACAAAACCGCATACACTTGAGAAAATTTACGGCACTGTACGCGCAGGAGCTTGCTTCGTTTTAAGCATAGTATTATGAGTGAACCACTGAAAGGATACGGCTTAATCTAGTTCTTTGGAACATCTAGCAATACGTTTCGTAAGTTTTTTTATTTCCCTGCATGGTGAGGGCATTGAGAACAAGAGCTTTCTCAAAACAAAATATGACGGGGCAAGATAGCTGCCGTTCAAATATGACTTTGCTTGAGTCTCGGGCAACGTCTCCATTTTTAGCCTTCCCGGACGCTGAGTGAATGCTTCACAGGTTTCTGCTGCGGGAGCTTTGTCGAAAAATGTTCCATTTTTCACCCATACACGAATGATGCTAGATCTCGCGGCCTCTGTGGTTGTCCTGGGCCTTTCATTACACATTCGTAGGTTTCAGCGCCTGTACGGCTACAAAGCGACTCACATTTTGCAAATAAAACACGGGCCGTCGGTTCCTCCCTTCGTGAAATATCAGACGCTTACAATTTAAGCTCGCGTTTGAGTTTGTGGCCAGCGGGACGCGGTTTCGAGCAGAAAACCAACTTTTTCTCTCAGTTCCGCTGTGCAAATGCCGCATCGTAGCAGACGAACTCTCGTCGTCTGCTCTCGCTCTACGCCTGGGCGGGGCATGACGGGATTGTCGGCGCTAGAGAGCTCAGAGACAACGTACAGCGAGCGGCGTGAACGCTCGCCTCCCCGCGCTGTCTCGCGCTCTCGTGCACTGCCTAGGGATCGCGGGGGATTTTTCGTCAGAAGTTGCGAAGTTGAGCGCGCGCAGGGAGGAGCAAACTTTGCGGCGTTCTTTTGGTCACTCCCCCCGCTACGTCAGAAAGCGAAGAATGTTCTGCTCCACGAGTTTAGCTACCCTGGTGTCAGTGCCGCGCAACAGCCGATACATGGTGCGGCGTCACGTCCCGTACCACGTGGCTCCACGTCACAAGAAAGGTACCTGACGTGATAGCATGTCCTACCGATGGCCGAACAACCGACGGCAACTGGTTGGGCCACCTGGCACCGAGTGCTCCGTCTGGTGGCCGTTGTAGGAGAGCGCCGACACAAGCGTGAGGTGACCACGTGATCAAGTGGTGTCACGTCACAACCAGGACACGTCACGTGATATCACCTGGCGTCCTACCACCCAACCCCCCCCCCCCCCCCCCCCTTCCCGTTCCGACGGCTAAAGCCCCTTCATGTTTTAACAGTAGCGTAAGGTACGCCGATGCACGAGGCACGTGCAACGTGCAGCCCTTGGGTAGATCATGGCTAGAGTGTGCTAGAAGTTAGGAGTGGGACGAGCTATAGACTCCACTCATGCTTACAGTTGCACCTCGAAATGGGAAAGCGATGAGGTGGAATCAAGCCACTTTGTTCGCAGTGCCACCTTCGCCGCGATCAAGCAACGACACAGGTGAAGGTCATATGGGCAATATAGCCCCTCAGGGGCTATATTGAATTTTTTATGATTTTAACGCCAGAGGTAATGTCAAAGCACCACGACAAGGCCGTCGTGACATCGCGTCGCGTCAAGGACGACGCCGTTTGGCGACATCAAGTCGCCGTTGTAACGTGGTCATGACGTCGCGCGCCACGTCGAGGACGACGTGGACGTGGTCATCGATGCCGACGTTGACGTCGATGCGCCATGTTACGTCAAACATAGCTATGACGTCCCATTAACGTTGTCCTAACGTCATCGTGAACGTCAGTCCCGACGAAGCCTTAATAGCGTGTAACGTCGTCGCCTTCGCCAGAATCAGCGTTGACGCGCGGTCACGACGAAGTCTTGAAGTCGTGCAACGTCGTCGACGATGACGCCGACGTCGTGAAGTTGCCGGTACGTCTTCGTGACGTCGAGTTGCGTCATGTCGACAACGACGTCAACGAACTGACATCAAACGTCCTTATGACGTTGCATTGACAAGGACGCCGTCATCTTGACGTCCCGCGACGTTGTCGTCATCGTCATCAACGTCAACGTTGACATCGTCGTCGTTGTCAACGCAATATGACGTCAGAACGTAGTCTTGATGTCGTGTAACGCACGCTGTCAACGTCGGTGACAACGTTGACGTCAGGGCGTCGTCCTGATGTCGCATGCCGTTGTGACGACCAGTCAGGTCGCGGTGACCTTATGTACGTGACGCCTGACGTCTAGGTTGTATAAAGATTATAGTCGGGCGTTCTATCGTTTTTATGGCCTTGACCAGTGTGCGGGTCGAACATGGCGCTGGAACGAAACGCGTTTTTCCTAAAAAGCAACTAATCCGAACCACTTCGCTCAGAGGGCGCTACGAGCGAAGTTGCTTGGATTAGCCGATTTTTCACATGCGGAGGCACCAAAATAGCACTCCGGTGGCCCCACTCGTTCCTTCTAGTACAATCTATCATGGCGGCACAGCGCAGCACTGATCTGGATTCCAGACGCCATGTTCTTCCCAGAAGTGGCGTGCGGCACGTGTCTCGAGCATTTACCGACGGCAACTGGATTACGCCAGCTGGCGGTTTCGCCGCGCGCTCCGTCTTCCGCCTGGTGCTCGGAAGGCGTTACGTCACCATGACATCATTACTGTAGCACAGCTTTCATCAGGTGAAAAAATGCCCGGTTACTAGGTGTGAAAACTGCGTTCATTAAAGTTGCCGGTCTTGATATTGCGCAATACTTATTGCCAATTACAGCTACAGGTGTTGAAATTGCGCAATATCCTTTGGCGATTACTAATAGACCTATCCCACTGAACGCTCCATGCATTCGTGACGCAGTCATTATTATAGTTCGCAGGAGACGGGCGCCAGTGCACGGGACAGTTTGTCCCGTCACGTGCTCGACTCGCGCAGAGCTTGAATGAGGTTCTCGCTCGTGCTGAAAGATTACAGTTCCGGTGACGCACACCGGCAGCATCGGCGTAACGAAACATACCGGTGAGATCGGTCTTTTAGAGCTACCGGTCTTGAAAATGTGCAATACCTAATCGCGATTACAGCCACCTGTCTTGACATTACGCAATTACTATTGGTGATTAAAGTCACCGGTCTCGAAATTGCGGAAAACCTATTCGCGATTAAAGCTACCGGTTTAGGAAATGTGCAATGCCTATTCATTGATTATTGGGACAATTGTGTAGACTTTTCCTACTACTGTAGGAAGCTTGAATGCACCAAAACAAAATTATAGCAGTCAGACTGTGCTCAATTCATTCAGAAGAAATCGACATAAATATCACTATTTTTAATCAATGTACGTGTGATATCGATTATTTATAAGATGTTTATAAAGACCGAAGTGACATCCACGCCATGGGGTTTGATTTAAACAAGCGACCCCAGAAAAAAATGCCAGTGCACGCCACCATTCGCAGGCGCTTTCGACTGCTTTCTGAATTCTTAAGGCTCCTGAGTGCCTGCAGTTGTTTTCTCTTCTGGCACTTCTTCTTTTTGACCTTCGTTTTCCCCCTTATTCTTCTCTTTTTCTCCTTCGTCCGCCTTCTCATCCTTTTGTTCGTCTTCCTTTTTTCCTTCTTCCTTCTTTTCCTCTTTGTTTTTCTCATCTTCATTTTTCCCTTCTTCCTTCTTTTCCTCTTTCTTTTTCTCATCTTCATTTTTCCCTTCTTCCTTCTTTCCCTCTTTGTTTTTCTCCTCTTCATTTTGATTTCCCTCTTTTTTGTTTTCTTGGTTTTTTTCCTTATCCTCTTTCATCTTTTTTATATATTCTGGATTCTGGCATAAATTATCCATGCACTCGCTTGTCTGTTCATCGGTGTACTGAAAAAACACAAAAAGAACATTTGTTTGTTTGTTTAAACATTCATTTGCTAAGGCGCTTGAATTTGTTTCAAAAATAAGTTTGTAGGCAGAGCGGCCGAAAAAGTAGTTCTACTTCAAAATCAATTTTTATGAATTGTTTACACGCAGTCGTTGTAGCCGGTCTAAATATCCTATAGAAATATTCCTTTTATTTTGATTGTCGAAATAGTATTTTTCAGCAAGTTTCGTATGAAAAAAACGGTACATTCCAGATGTCCTTACCGACCGAGACGTACATCTTAGCAAGATAGATCGCGATGGGATTCGCGATCTATCTTGCTGACCACACATGTCACGTTTCGGGGATCAACAATTGGAGAAGAAAAAAAGTGCACGATGTTGGAAGAAATAAAGCCATATTGCAGAAAGAGAAAAAAAACAGAGCACTAGGGAACTAAAATACAAAAGTACAAAGTTATCAATATTCTGGTCGGAAGCTGGACCACCTTCAACGGAGCTCGAACATATCTCGGCACCGATCTCAAGTACTGAGCGACTGCCTGCGTCAAGAAACCATCATCGATTCTCAAGCACGACACTTGCGACGCTGATCATCAGGCCCAGCGCTTTATGTCATCAACCTGACGAGGGAAGTGACACTTCAAAAACATATCTTAATGTACATGTCTAAATATCTAGACAGACGTTTTTTTGTATAGAAGTATAAATTTGTTTATACTGCCGATCGTGCGCTCCCCTATTTCACTCAGAGGGTTGAGTGAACATCGACAACATTCAATCCCCTTTTTAACTGCATGAATGTGGGTCTTGCTCGTAGATGACAAATGCAATTGGCTATGTTTTGCTCATCATGGATACGGCTATACACCGGATTAGAATGCTACATATATATATATATATATATATATATATATATATATATATATATATATATATATATATATATATATATATATATATATATATGGGTGTTTTCATCTCAAATTGGGCATGCTAAAAGGGTCTAATTTTTAATTTTCACGAAAGAAATATATGTTTTGGGGGTATTTCTCAAATGAAGGAGGGCGCAAACCGCATGTTCTCCAGATTTTTTTTCTCGACTTACGAGCCGTAGAAGCTGCAGTGGCAGAAACTAGTGTTTTTGCCTGCCGTCGTAGGTCGCGTATTTGACACCCGCTGCTGGCGCTATTATTTTCCCTACACCCTTTTAACTTTTCCCCCGCATTTGATAGGCATTATAAAGATACCTTGATGTATTCAAATATTTTTAGGATTTTGATTGTTTTCTAAAAAAACATGTCACATTCGTCACTCCGGTCGCTTTTCGGTCAAATTTGACAGGTCATTACTTTATCTGTACTTAAAGCAAATTTTCTTTCTTTGGCTCTACAGCAAGTCCAAAGCAAGCCCATTATAGATATAATAATATAATTATGATCTGTCGACTCGGCGCTTCGCTACCTTCATGTAAACGTTGTAATAAATAACAAATGTTGAAAATTTGAGGCTGATTTTCTCAAAAATCCCCATTATTGTAAATTTTTAATTATTTTCGACATATTACTCGACTACAAGAAAAAATAGTCTAGAAATGTAATATTTTGGTTGTATGCCCTCTGTTTGAGCCGCAATCGCGTGAAATATGTGAACATTTGTTCTTTTTCACAACGTTTACGTGAAGGTAGCGGAGCGGCTACTCGGCAGATAATAATGATATTACTATATCTATACTAGGCATGCTTAGGGCTCTCTATAGTGCAAAAGAAATAAAATGTACCTTAAGTACAGGCAAAGTAATGATCTGTCAAAGTTGACCGAAATTCGACCTGAGTGACGAGTTTGACATTTTTTTTTTAGAAACAAATCAAATTTTTAGAAATATTTGAATACGGCAAGGTATCTTTATAGTACTTATTAAATGAGGGGGGAAAGTTAAAAAAGGTGTAGGAAAAAGACTAGCGTTAGAAGAGGGTGTCAAACACGCGACCTCCGACGGCAGACAAAAACACTAGTTTCTGCCACTGCCGCGTCTACACTTCGTAACTGAAGAACATATATATATATATATACAGAGAGAGAGAGAGAGAGAAAGAGAGAGAGATAGATAGATATATATTACCACAGTTATCTACGGGAAAAAGCAATAGCATCTTTTCCCAATGTGTCTTTTATGCACATTAGCGCTCTTGTGTTCCTGCAACTACGGCGTGACTTCTAATTTATTATTATTTTTTTCCTAGATTCTAGGAAACTAGAGGTAGAACAACAAAACGATGACCCACCAGATGATGCAGTGTTAAAAAGGGCTTCACTGAGCTGCGTTTAAGGCGCCCGTTTAGCTCACGTAGTATTTTTGAAATGTTGTGGTGTCATCAAAGTCACACTGCCTTTCCTTCAGTATTATCGCTTTATTCCGCCTAAACAAGTTTTTTATACTATTTGGAATAAGTATCGCGGGGGATATTTTTTATTCCGAACAAAATTTAAGACAAGAGTGCAATCTGCCAGCTGAATATCGCCTTTGCTGGGTGTTGGTCCAGTTCTGCGCAAATAAGAACGGCGAATAACAGCCAACATCCGAGTAATTAACTAAAATTACTTAATTATATTTTAGTTTATGAAAATAAACATTTGTTTTTTCTTAGGAACTCCCTGAGCGTCATAGCAAACTACTAGCTCAGTAACTATTAGAAAGACTTTGAGCGCGCGAGAAGAGCCCTAGAGCCTTGGGAAACGCGGGGTTTTACCAAAGTGCACCAAAGTTACCACTGGTGCAGCAGGAGCAAGGATACCGGTGCGATAAAGCACCCACGTGATTTTTTCGTTCTTTATCATAGCCCGAGCCGTGTGCCTGTTCCACGAGTGGTAACTTTGGTGTACCACCGCGTCTCCCAAGGGCTTCAATTAGTGCTAAAACTGATATATTTAGTGGTTTTCGACGATGGCCAGCAGGTTTATCGTAGAAACCAAATATTTATTGTCACTAAATGAAAATGTATTGAACAAAATTTAGTCAAGTACTCGACAAAATGAGACGGTCATTCCCTCTGATAATGTCCGCCAACGTCGACAAACACTTAGGGAAGAAGGCATTTAGCAAAACGTTCGTACAGTACTCTTCCTTCTTTTTCAGAATTTTTTTTTTTTAATAAAAGCATCACCCGGTATTTCGCGTAACAGATCCCACATCCGTGTGCGGCACACTTAACGTATATTTATTATACTTCACAGAGCACTTCCCGCTATTTTGAGGCAAATAATAAATGAAACATACGCATAACCGGCGCATTATGCTTATGAGTTTGAGGTCTCTCGCCGGATTGTTTTAACTTTTACCATTCACCTCGAGGTCAAACCATGTCACCGCCGCCAGGCTGAAATATGTAACATCAATGAGAATGAACACCGCGGCGTCGTCTGATGTAGCACACGTTGATTTTTGGCGGAATCAGCTGAACATAGGAAGGAAGGAAGGATGTAAGAGACGACAACCGACTGTTGGAATATAAAAGAAAAGATAACCAGCGGTCGATTTGTCTTTTCAGGTCTCCTTTCTTCTTCCTGTGTTCAGCTGGTCCCAACCGAAATGAATAAGCAACTAGGTCAGCCGATTCCCTTCCCACGTTGAAGTGCATGTGTTTCGACGAGGACAGCCTCTTCAATTCCCAGCGGAGCTACATTCCTCATATAATAATCTGCTTATTTCTTTTTTTTTTATGAAGGTTGTTTCCCATTACTTTACATGCGTGGAAATTCAGGAAAACAACATATATTAAGTCTAATACTTCCATAATCCTTGTACTACGCCTCTGTCTTATGTCACATATCGCTTCCGTAAAAAATAAATGTTGATTCGACCTGAGGTAGAATAAAAAAAAAATAAACGTAGTAATTGCCACCCTCTAATAGAATAATAAATGAAATAATTTGTTCTTCGATTGATTTCCTGGCACGTTATATAAAAAAATAGTGATGTTGAAATTTTCGAGTTTCGAATTCTACTCGAATCGTGATTAACCAAAATTTCATTCGACTTTCGGATTCCTTGTATTTGATTTTTTGAATAATTCGATTAATCGAATATCCCTACAGCTGGCAAAATGTCTGGTTCGTTCACGCTGTTGATATGAGGTAATAGTCTTACAGGCATGTGTGCAATCTAAATCAAGTATATTCAAAAGCCGTGACTTAAAACAAATTCTGTAGAACGTAGTTCTTTCATTTGTTACTCGAGTGAAGTACCCATTCTTCCAGCTTCTTGGATGTTCTAAGCTATAACCAGTACAAAAAAAAAAAACTTGGCATTTAGGATTAAATTATTTACGTCCTCTACGATAAGCTCAGTGTACTATTAACCTAGTCTCAGTTGCTGCGTCCATATAATGGCAAGTTAGTTTTGAAATACAAATAGCAGCGATCATTCAGCTCGCCCCTTCCGTTAACCCGTCGCTCCCCGCGGTGTCAAGCGATGTGCTACGGTCAGGGATAAGTGGCGCAAGCAGTGTTAGCGGTGACGCTCTACAAGTAACGGCGTTACTGGTATGAATTGAAACTTACCTTGCACTTCGTACCATCTTTATAGTACTTTTTTTCATAATCGCCGCTTCCCTTGACACGTTCGCAAAAGTAATTGCAGTTTTGAACGGTTTTTTCCTGGAGGAAAGAAAAGTAACTAAAACTTTGGTCTACGTAGGTAACGTTATTATATGCAAATATACAGTTCACAGCATTGTCAGCGTTTCCATGATTTCGGCAGTCTTAAAACGTGTGATGCTCCTTAACAGAATTCCCTAATCCCAAACTTGTGTCCATCCCTCCGACCGTACGTCCGCGCATTTCAAACTTAATGAAAAAATGTACATCATGTTTGCCTGACGTCCCGTGGCCTGTATACTAATTTAGTTTCCGAGAAAAAATTTAGAGTGGAAATTTAAATCACGTAGGTTATTCATGTATGATTCCTTGTTATCGAATGAATCCGATTCCGAAAGAAAAACACTTGCCGGTAATATTTTCGTCGATTTGAATTTATCCGAAAACCTAAAAATCTCAAAATAACGACGGCAAAAAAAATGAAAAAGGTAGAAAGATGGTATTTTACAAATAAAGTTGGTCAGAGCACATGGCAGGGAACGCCCAATTCAGTTTTTTCTTCTTTTTGAGATAAATGACAAAATATAGTTTTCCGTTCAGCTTGTCAATGTTAATTCAATACAATGGTCAAATGTATTTCAGGACCAGTACAAAAGCCACTGTTCCGGTTTCCAGCTTGAACCATATTATTTGTGCTTCTTAGATTGAAGAAGGGTTGTGTTTTTATGAGAGTGAAAGAAGTGAACCAGTAGATGTTAGAGGATGGGGAGGGCAGGTGAAGGTTCTATGCGTCTAGGAGTTTGGCTATAACAAAGTGCCGACGTTTACTGAAGTAGCACTTATATTAAGACTTGTCGAGGGACAGGCAGTACTGCCGATAGCACGGGCGTCAGTCGCAAATGCGACTGCAGAAATATGTTTCAATACGTACCTGAGATTTTTTTATGAATATATTGTACGTTAATGTCCTATAATATTTATTTTATTAAAAAAAGTTGAAACCATGTAAAATCGAACTTTAAATTTCGAAAAATTGTGAATCTAAAAGAAAAGCTTTAAACCCCCAATATTTACCTATTAATAACCTCCAAAAGATATCTTTCGAATTAAAACAAAATGCTCCTAAAACGCGGGATTCCATTTATATATGAGTAAAGTTGTCCCGCTATATTTAGCACAAAAATGTAACGTGACGACTTTCACATTAATTCAATTTCTCCGCTAAACTTAGCGGGAAACAAATTAACGTCACGTTATCTATACAGCAATTGGATTTCCCCTCTAAAGTTACAGCAGAATTTGAAGGGATATGCCCTATACGCCAATTAAGTAATAACATTGATCTAGAAAATCTAACCTTTTGAGACTTGCGCTTATTATATGCTTGTACATGATCCTTTTCTCTCTTAACATTTGCAAAAGGTGCTTTTAGCTTTGTGTACTGAATTATAACATCATTGCCTCTAGCACGCTATTATGTTGCTTTTTGTTTGTTTTCCCGCATGGTTCCTGCTGTCCGTTGTAGGGGCCCAGGGACTCGTCAAGCTGCTTACTGCAGCTTTTTTTCTTGGGCCCCACCATCATAAAGGAGGGAAATAAAGCATTATTATTATTATTATTAAGTGCCCCCGCTAAAAAGAACAAGATATTTGGTAAAAAATTGGGTGTTTATCAATCCCGAAAGGAATTAATGTTTATTGAACGAATTGACAGCCATTCGATCTACAGCCATTCGGACCTTCGGACCACGAGCGAAATAATGGAAGGCGAGGGGCGACGGGTGGTAGAGACACTTACATCAAATGCTCAGCTAGATGCTAAATGATATATGTGTCAGTGAGCTAAATAATTTATATAAGCTTTCTTTTCAGGATTCGCAGATTTGTTTCTAAAAGTTGTGAAAGCTACAGTAATGAAGATTTCCCAAGTGAATTTTCAGCGGAGGGGACATTACACAATGTGTTTTCCTTTAGCCCTTAACGATTTGTTTGAAAAAAAAAAGCCGCGAAAGCTGCACTTATGCGGTTTGTGCAGGTGAGGTGTACGGTCGGGGGAACATAGCATAGGGAGCTAATCGAAACGATCAAGTGCTTAAGTAAAATTTGTTAATATAATTTTTAATTGGTGAATACCCTACTGAAAAATCCGGCAAAAGCTTCCAGTGACATTCGGTGGAGACGGGATAATTTCCACTCATTTTCAGCAGAAACCAGCGTAGTTTACCAGTCTTTGGTGGAAATATTACCGGCAGCCACTTTCGCATGGTGGGTTTGCCAGAACCACTTTCGATTACCCGTCGCTGGAATTCTACCGGAAGCCACTACCGTTTTCCGGACACCGAGCTTCATTGGAAGCCGACGCAAGGGGAACGGCTAAAGGCAAGGAAGCCAAGACGAGCAGGGGGGCTGAGATTGTAAGGGTGGCCGCCAATGCAGTAACATTCTCCTGAGTGCGTGTTTTAGATCGGGACGACGTTGCAATCCTCAAGAAGTGCGTGCAGCGAACTTGACGATTCAAAAAGGTGGGCACTTTCACCCGTTTTCCTCCAAAACCTGTTTACCAGTCTTTGCTAGATTATTTGCCGGAAAACAGATTTCGCTGAAATTTCACCGGCATCGGGCTTCCAGATTGCGCTGGAATGTCACCGGCAGCCACTTTCGTTTACCAGACGACCCGGTTTTGCTGGAAATCTTACCCGAAACGGGGGACTCGCTTCCCTGTTTACCGACCTTCACTCGAAGCCGACGCGAGGGGAGGGGGAAGCCGAGACGAGCCGAGGACTGGGTGGACGAGTTCTCACGCACACTCTCTCCCTCGCATTGAGTTCGTGGGGAAAATACGAGAGGGTCGTTTTGCTGACTGTTTTTTTAGAAGAAAACCGGTTTCTTTGTTTGTCAACGAGCAACGGCCGGTCAGGAACGAATGCTCAGTCTCGACTTCGTGTTCCATGTGTGCGACCTGTATCTTCCAAAGCAGCTGGGTGTGAGATGAAAAGAAAATATTTTTCAGTGACCTGTTTCTTACGCCTCTTTGTCCGTGCGGTTACAGAAGCATCCACCGAGTGAAAAAGACTGTGCCCAAGATTTCTCAACGTCGGCGGATATTCGTTTCGCGCGTTCGTGGTTTTCGCTAAGCGTGTTACTGACATGTATGTGTCCGCCTGGTGTACCCGCGGCGACGACATCAGAGTCGACATTCTGACTGTGCCCGTGATTTCTCAGTTGCGGCAGATGTTCGTTCCACGCGTTCGTGGTTTTCGCTGAGCGTGCTACTGACATGTATGTGTCCGCCTGGTGCACCCGCGGCGACGGCATCAGGAACGACATCGAGATCTGTGTCCGTGATTTCTCAACGGCGGCAGATTTTCGTTCCGCGCGTTCATGGTTTTCGCTAAACGTGTTACTGAGAGTATACGTGTGTGTCCGTGTGGTGCACCTGCGCGGTTTTATTAGTTGTACTACTGTACGTCTAGGAATTTACCCAGCGGCATTGTGAGTACCTTGAAAGATATCTTTTGTGACAAAGAACTCGGCTGTTCCTATTTGGTCTGATTGCTTTTCTCTAGAGCTGTGCAAATTGTTTCACTGGTATCGACCCTGTTATCTAAATACATAGAACCTTCAGGTCTATATGGACTAAACACTTTAATTGTCACCGAATCGTCCAGCATCTGGTAAACATGCACCGCCCACGGTTCACAGGCTTCCTCCTAAGTGCCGTCCGTTGACGTCCGAAAACAGAAAGAAAGAAACACAGTAAATTCCGGCCAATCTGGTTTTGAGTGACGGTCTTATGAAGTGCTGAAAAGCGACGTGGAGTTACGGAAAGAACCGTTCGGGAAAAAAGAGGTGCCCCTCTTCCACTCCTCTCGAACTACTTAATTTACGCTTTCGCGCTTGTACATCTGGTAGCGAAATTATTTTGCACTTCAGCGACCCTGTAATGAAGTGGGAACAGAATGGCGGTGGGCGATTGGAGGTCTGAACCGGAATAAAAATTAGATGCCATTTTCCTGGGATGAATGGAGAACGGTATGGACTCGGTTCTTATGCGAGCTGCGTCGGTCTTAAACTAGAACCTACGGCCTGCTGGCGTGACGTTAGCGCAAGGTAAAACAACTTTCGAATCAGCATAATTTCGCTATAGCTAACTGACGGCTTGACTGACTGTTATATCTGGCGACGCAAGGCGCGACAAAGAAGCTGTTGCGATTTACTCTAGTTGCGACCACGCGTGATTATAGCACAGGGCATAGGCCACCAGCCGTGACAAAGCCACTCGAACCGTCTTTGCGCATGCTCGCCTTCTCAATTCAGAGGAGCTCACGGTGCCGAATGTTCAATGGTTAGCTCATGTTTCCTTATCACACGGAGCCGATAGCTCATTCCTCGTGAAGCTACTTATACCCAAGCGCCTACATTCCGTTTTATTTTACTAGGAGCAGCAGCGGGCGCTATGTGTCATCTTGAATTCCCTACTAAGTACATACCTTCAACACTCACGCACAAAAGTATACTAGCTTATATCGGGATAATGAGCATCGAACATCAATAATTTCCAGCTAATACATGTATAATGTCCAGATAACGCCTGCAAAATAAATAAACCATGATCACATGTATGTTTTTGACCAGAAGACCTAGGCTTGGCTGGGTAATAAAACAAAGACTTAACTGAACACGGTAGCAAATCACGACGTTCGTACATTAAATGTAAAATGATTCAGCTCAAGGCAGGTTTCACGACGTAGTGCTATAGTCGCTCCCGCCGGCTCCGTAGCGATTACACCTTTTCAGCGCTTTTGTGTTCTGACGCATTGCATTGATATTTGGGGCAGATACACAAGGCATCGCCTCTGGCATTTAACAAGTCGGTGCTGGTGTGCAGATGTTCGAAGCAAACATCAAGGCAGCTTCTTGCGCCTCGCACGAACAAAATATTTTAAAGGCCTCATAAAATAAATGTGCTTACCCTGTAGATATCTCCTAGAAGTGTGGTGCGTACGGTTCGTTCGTAAATAAACTGGGTGTTTTGGATCTTTTAATTTTTTTGTTGTCAGTTCCGATTTTTGTAAGGTTGAACACGCAATCTGTCTGCAGCTGCAACAAGGGGTCTGTGTAACCTCCGCTCGGATTTGTAGTCTCAGCGTTTCGGGAACGCCTTTTGCATTTTTTTTCCAGTTTTCTATAGTTTCATAGCATCTTAATGCTGATTTTCCCGGCCGCTAACTGTGGTTGTCAATACACATTTTTACGTTTACAAATTATAGGAAAAAAATGGCAGTGGCTTGGCTTGGCTATGCTAGGATATACCTAGCGTGAGCTTATGCGCACAAATTGAGAGGCGTTATCAAGCAGCTCCGGTGCAGCGTCAGGCTTGGCTACTACGCAACGGAGGCACACAGCTGGGCACGCGGCGGCGCCAGAGCGTCTGCCGCGGCTATGACGTCATTCATCTGGAATACGAAGACCGGCGAGGCGCGCGCGGTGGCGGCGGAGCTCGCGGCGACAGCGGCTTCGGCACGCCAGCTGTGCGCCGTGTGACGTGACTCCGTGCTGTGCAAGCGAGCCACGCGAAACTGCTTAATTCCGGCCAGTGTAGCTCACGCTACATAAAATAGAACTGTTCAACCATTTCATAAGTAGGAATTGACCCAGTATCTGAATTCATTTTAGTTCAAAGGAGTCTAAATATCAGAAACTCTGATTTTCTGGAATTGAGTTGAAATAAAACGGGGGTGCTTATTCCGCAACAATGAAGTCTGGATACTGTGTTCCGTGTATTTTAGGACTTGGGAAATGAAGGTACATGCCAATTTGTATAATATTTAAACATACTCCCACTTCTGCGGCCTCCTTCTCCTTTTTCTCACATGATCGGTCTTCTTCCTCCGTAGCGCTTTCTCCTGGAGCGCACTTTACTATCGGCAGCAGGGCTACAAATAATGAAAAAAAAAAACACACTTGAACAGATTTGTTCCAATTGAAACATGGGAGCTTGTCTTGATCAACTTTAAAAAATCTAGAACTTTGAACTTCTGTTAATGAATGCATGTGATCATTTCTTAGAAATCAAGACTTTTAAACTTCAAGAAATGTAAGTGATTTCTATGTCGAATATTCCGACCTGAAATATTATTCAAGATTAAAAGAGACGAGTCAAATCTTATGAATTTACTACTCCACAAATGTCCAGGGACACAAAACACGTACTAGACTCTACAATAAGAACTCGGCAAAGCGCGAGGCTCAAGAAAGCCTTTCCTCAAATGGCGCATAATTTAATTAGGCTTCTATTATTGGCATTAGCGTCCTCAGTCACTTTCAGTGCCAAATCCCAGGCGTAAAGTCTCAGTCAAAATGAGTTTAGGGTTTTGTCACTCTTTGTACATCTCAGTCATTCGTTCAAAATTGGTCATTGATAAAACTAGCTCACGGGTGTTTCGCTATATTTTAAGAAACACCGCCGAGCCTGTGGTAATTTTATTGTCAAATTCAACAATGGCAAATGCTCACAGAGAAAACAATTAAGTCCCCCTTCGCATAGTCATCATTATAAAGTTTCGTAATTATTTTGAACTCGCTGCCATTTTGCCTGGTAAGTGCGATAGTATTACCATACATGTATAAGAATTGGCGCACTGTATCATTAAATCAATAAAACAAGGTCCCATCTACGGAGATACGTATTTTTTGTTTACTCAGAGTTTTTTTTTTATAATCTACAGCTTTCTACAACTAAGGTCAAAGGATGAAATGACTACGCTTAAAAAAACACAAAAAATAAAACATTAAGCTCCACCTCGAGAAAAGATGTTGAACTGCCGTGAGAAAGTACCCAAGGATCACTGTGCGGTCCAGGTGACATCTAAATCGCCTTGATTGTGCAAGAAAGAAACAAAAGCTTTAGCCTGGTTAGTTCAACGTCTGGTTTCGGGGTGAGCCCACTGCGCCCCCTCGCTTGACACTCAGTAGTTTAAACCTACATTGCCACACCTTTGAGCGGCAGAATCGTAATGTTAATTTCTAAATAAATCAATTGAAAATTCCTAAATATTTATGACGTAGAAATAGCCTGCTCGCTTTATTACACTTCAGCATTGGCGAAAACAAATTACCTGTCACAATTACCTGCTGGAATATTGATTTTGGCTTGTGGACGTCTTGGCGAAACTTCGAGAAATTATGTTCCTTCTCTTCACTTTTATAGACCAGAAGAACGGCGGGAGCGCAATCGTAAGTGCACAATGAATAAGCATGAATTATATTTGTTTCAAGTCAAGACTTAGCGTCATTGTAAGTTAGAGCATACCCGATGGTATTAGCCGATGAAGCTAATCAAGCAGTGCCAGGAACGCAACGTCACCACCCTCGTCGCCTTTCAGAGCGCATATCACCACCGCCTAGACCAATCTAGCGCAGAGTGCATGCCGTCGCCTTCCGTGCTTTGTCTTCTAGTTTGCCCTTGTGTGTCTCCCAGCCTCTGGTTGTGCTCTGACTTAATGCGAAAGTAAGCGAAGCTGTCAAAAGCTTCAAGCTTTAGATAACCTTATCTTTCATGTGTATCTGACTGCCAATCATATAAAATGCCAGAAGATTTGACTATTCACTTTTACATTCTTTAAGGTTCAGATATTTCTCCTGGGATCTACCGGATTTTCCGGTTCAAAATAGAAAAAAAATTGGCTACCACGGAGTGTTCTGTGCAGTTTTGCCTTTACTTATGATGCGGATGTCCTTACGTTTTTTTTAAGCAGTATAACGTTTCCCAATCACCGGAGTTAAGGACTCCGATCTTCAATATCGTGCGTTGTAGAAACCGACGCTTGGGCCCGTCGAAATGGGCAGCGGAATTTTCCGCAGACTGGCGGCGAGAGTGTAAAACACACTAGAGAAATAGGTGCGGGTGGAGACGTCATAAATGCGATGAGCAAATCTTTCAAGGATAAACCTGTCGATTTTCGCAGGCACTGTCTACTCTCTCCCCAAACAGTGGGACGCGTGTCTGAATGCATACGGCGGTTTCTTTCAGAGATCCCCGGTGCATTGTTACGTTTTTATAATTTTTTGCACTAATTTCTTAGCTCGTTTGTGTACCTTTCCGTTTGTTTTGTTGAGGACACAGTAACGAATTTCATTTGATCACGCTTCGTATGACGAGCTCCTGAAACTTTGGGAAATCTAGAACTTTACGCTTTACTCAACAATCTTTTCAAGTATATATTCCAACAACACCTACAAAATCCCACAAAGCAGGCTTTATAGCAAAGTACGGATTCACTGATTCACCCACACGTATGTAGTTGGGTTTCAAACATGAAAGTTCTATTGAAATTCTTAGCACCTGTCCATCACCCGCAGCGTTCCGATGAAGGTTATGTGAAAGCAAAGTTAGCCGATTAGTATTACGCAAAAAAAATCCTTGGCTTGCTTTCAGCAAGTCGCAGCTTGAACTAGTTGAGGCATTGGATGGGAACCTGAACCTAGACCCCGACTTTTATATGCCGTAAAATGCAACAGACATTGGTGTCGCCAATGAAATTGTTTTGGCAATCATAATATTTGCCCGATTCCCACCATTTTATACTTTCCTTCTTTGCATATAAGTAGCTTCAAAGAAGCAATCACCGCAATTTGACGAGCGGTATCTTACCTTTAGATCAAACTAATAAAATGCGCGAAAGATTCATGTTGTTTCACATTTCTCAGCGTTGTATTTCTAACTTATATTAAAGTCTACAGAAATTCTCAGCTTTATCGCTTGCTATCCCATCTGTCTAGTTCAAATTGATTAAATTTTGATATGATCTGTGGGAAAGAAGACGCATGATGCTTTTTATTTTTTGCAGGGTAGTCTTTATTTCTGCTTATCACGGAGGAATGAACCGTAAAAAGCGCTTGCTAATGTAGGTCATTCTTTTGGTTTACTTGAAAAAATAGTATATTTAATGTGTCCAGATTGTGCTCAATAATTCTGTACTAATCTATCATATTTAAAGTGCACAATGCGTGACTCTCACTTGTATTTTTTTGTTCTTTGAATGGAGTGCAGAAATTATGTTCGAGTGACTTTAAGGCTCGGATAAACAGTATCAAGGCTGAGCAGCATCTAAGCGATTTAGCGAGGGACGAGGCAAGCGACGGCAACAAACCAGGAGAGTCACTGAAAAAGGACGCAAATGGCTTTTTGTCGCTATTCGCGTCGCTCAGTTTTTTTTTTTTTTTTTTTTTTTTTGATTTCAAGAAAACTTCGCGTATGGACTTTGTCGCCTGCTCCCGTTGCTTTCATGCAGTTTGCCTCGTTGCGCAACTGACTGAGCAACAGCGGGTCCTCGTTGCCAACTCGTTGCTCGCCAAATCGCTTACATGCGGTCTATGCTTCACGATAAAATGTATCTCGACTGTATTTCCGAAATACAGTTTGTATCTGTACTTCTGTATTGCAACAAAGCTTTCTAATTTAATCTGTCTTTTTGTATTCCAGACATCTCTCGAACATCTCCATAAAGTTTGTGGCCGGTGTATCTTGTTGCACTTTTTAGCACATGTCCCCCTTCCCCCTTTTCTGATGTAAAAAAAAAGTATCTCAGAATAAAGTACGATACACTCGGGGAGGAAAACCCAACACGGAAGAAAGTAAGATGAGGCGACAAAAAACGTATCAATGAAAACCTTCATCAGCGTGAGAGCAAGAATCAACGTTGTAAAATTTCCACACAGCCTGGTATAACAACCTAAGAAATAACAGCGTCCGAAACAGCTAGCAGAGCCTGTCGGCCAGCACTCGGCCAACATCGGCCAGTACCGGGTAGTTGGCGACAGAGCCTGGCCAGCTGCGGCCAGGCTTCACTGTCCAGTTTCCGGTACTGGCCGGCGTAGGTTGGCTCAGTGCTGGCCGACATGGTGCGCGAGTTGTGAAAGGACGCGGGGCCAAAAAGAATCATCAAGAAATGTTCTTTCTCTTGCTTCGGAAGCTATATTGAAGGCCTCGTCCAGTTCGAAATTGTAAATATGGTAAACATTTTACAACAGGATAGAACAGTTAGCATCAACTCAAGGCAAAATTAACTCGGACCATTTTGTTCCTTCCACCTTTAGAAAAATATGGTCAACCGGTAGGAAATGACAACAATCTAAATAAAAAAACTTTTGGTAGCGACATTTTTCCATGAAAGTCCTCTAATGCATAAAATGCATTATAGAAAATCAGTGAGGGAATGGGCGAGGGAATAGGTGTTTCACTTGACGTATATTTTCACGCTAAATTTAGGGGGAAAACCGAATGGTTAGAGGTTACGTGACGTCAGTTTCCGCTTCTAACTTTAGCGGGGAAATTGAATTGTTTTCTGGGTCACGAGACGTAAACTCTCCCTCTAAATTTCGCGGGTAACTGGATTTGCGCATAGGTCACGTGACGTCACGTGACGCCACTTTTCTCGCTAAATTTAGCGTAAATTGCACGGACAAACGGACCGACAAAAGTTTGATTTTGGTGAGGCACCGCTAAAAAAAAACATTTCAAGCTTTAAAAAGTGCAATTTCCACCACTGGGAAAAAAGTGAATAAAGTTTGTGGCCTTTTCCAATTGCAGCGAGCTATTAGGCCAAATTTACAGTAAATGCTATTATATATTTGACCCAAACATCACTTTCGTCGACGCTAGGCATGATATCCATCATAACCCTGAGACGTAGGAACAATAAAAAAAAGCGGACAGAACAGCAAAGTATCTTCCTTTTTCGGTCCGTGCTTTATTGCTCCTACGTCTGAGGGTTACCATTCACCAGCTCGCCTGCTTTTTTACCTTTCTTCATTAGGCATGATATCGTCTTCTTGAAAGTACAGTGTTAGTCAAAGTGATCTAGGTTGTTTGAAGAGATCGCACCAACAGATTTCTTAACGTATCGACCTCAGATTTTGCAGATGCAGAGGTGTATAGCCATTGGGCATAACCGGCCACTCTATGTTTTTTTTCTTCCCCCGATGATATATTACCCGGTACGACAGAGTTACTTATTTTCCCAAGTTATCTCAACCCTTTGCTTGTTTTCGTACTCACCATGGCAGAGCTAAACGCACGCAACACCTGAAGGAAATCGTTGCTTTTACCGCATTCTTGTTGGTCTAAAAGTGATTTCTCTGCTCGTGAACCATCACTTCCAGCTGCCTTGTGAATTCCCCCTTTTGATGGGCTAATTTACACCGACCATTGCCGCTAGACACGACCAGCGCAAAACAAAAACGAATGCCATGATAGAAAAACTGGCGTCCTTCGCGCCATTCTACGACGTGCTTTACGGGGAAGCGAACACTACGCAGCTAGGAATCGGAGTGGAGCGTGTTCTCTTATTGAATGACGGAAATAATTACAGTGGGAACGTTTACTTTTTACTAGGACAATCATCTTTTCTGCCCTTCAAAATACCTTCCGAGCAGTGACATTACTGAGAAGAAGATAGGCAAACTCCATGAAAACTATATTTATTGCTTTGATCAGTGGTTCTCAGATGGCGGCCGGCAAACCCTTTGGGCAGAGCCGTATATGTGGAGAGTTTGGTCAATGGGAGGCGCGGGCAGAGTCGGGGCGTGCGGCAGAGTCGGAAAGAGGGCTTGGCATGCTCTCTTGACCAACCAGAAGCCGAAAAGAATCCCCTAGCGGTGGTAGCGGCAAACAGCTGTGATCAAAAGTCTATGTTCGTATATGGTTTTAATAAACGCGTAAGAGTGAAGTGTAGTAACTCTTTGTGGTTGAAAATAGGGTTCACGTGTTGTTTTGATCATGATCATGCAGAAAGATGTAAGAACCGAATGCGCCACGCAAATCTGTTTTGCGCGGACAGAGTGTGACCGCTCGGATGGCAGATTCCCGGCCCTCGGCGCTTGGCGTACGGAATATGTCGATCGTTCCGCTAGTCGCACTCTTCCACCATCATTTTGGATTAACGTGATTGAAACATCACGTGTACCATATTTTCAGCCATTGAGAGTTACTCTATTGCAGTTATCAGGTTTGTTTCTTGCGACCACCGCCAGGGTATTATTTCCGGCTTCTGGTTGGTCACGTTCAAATTTCTGAAGACGCCCTGGAACACGCCTAGCCCACTTTCGGCCAATGCCGCCTCGTCATTTGTCTCCTATACTTCCCAACGAATGGCCAAACTTTCTACATTTACGGCTCTGCCTTCGGGGTACGCGAAGGTCTGCCGCTCGCCCACCAATATACGGTATTGATCAGCGTAAACAGAAACGACCAAATGACGTCTTGAAGAAACCACGAGGCACCGCATCGAGACAAAAACTTTAACTACACTGACTCAGGATGCTCATGTTACGAACTGTTTATCTGACACCAAAATCGTCTAGAGCAGACTTGTACGTACCTTAAATACTCTGCTCAAGTTACTGTATCTTAAATACTTTTGTGAGTAACTTGCTATCTTGCAAATACTTTCGAACGTCAGTATTTAGTACACTAAATTACATACTTTTTTCAACCAACTGGTACTCATTTTAAAGTAATTTTTAAGTTATTTTCTATTTTTTATTTTCTTTAGAGGCGGGAACCTTCGAAATTATTTAACTCCAGTTATTTTCGCTAGGCGCCCTGCCATTGCAGAAACGTTTCGTGCCAGGTAACACAGTGCACTTCCGTGCTTTTGCTGAAAGAGGTGACACGGAGAAGCAGGTGTCGCAGCTTCAAGCCGAGCGCACGTGTGTCGAGTCTTTTAACTGGGCAAAACGTCAAAGCACATTTTCTTACAATTTGTTTGTGCCCAAGCCCAAGAGCAACAGAGATTCCGAGGCAGAAGCGAATGCGAGTGAAAGCATAAGACGTGTACAAGGCTACAAGCCAGAGGGAGGGCACTTGTGTACGAGAGAGTGTGGATTCTACAAGTGTTTGTTAAGAGTCGACAGTAAACCGGAGCTTATTTTTCTATGTTATGGAGTGAAAGCATATAAAAGAAAGCCTTCCAGCTTCAGAAATGCCTTAGCATGCGCACGCAGTCGCACACACCGCTCGTTCGTTTCACTGGGCTCTCTTCGCACACAAGATTCGTAAGACGCGACTACACGGCTCCAATCCGGTGGCCCATCGCTCGCGGCGCCGCAGGCGAACGGGCCTCGCGCTGCTCTCGTCTATGCCCTGGCCATAACAAGGGTATAAAAGAAAAACATTTTTGTTTTTGTTTTATTCGTAGTTACTTGGGGCCTCCTAGAAGCCTGAATGACAGCCAAGGTCTAGCTGAGAGAATTCCAGAAGATTCCATAGAAGCTGGAAGGAAGAATTTCGGTTGTGCTTGACAATAAATTGCAGAGAAAATTGTAACTCAAGAGTATCTTGAAAGTAAGTACTTACTTTCTTAGAGTATTTGTTACTTTGTTCAATTACTTTACAAACTTCAGTATTTAGTACTCTGCTCAGTTACTATATTTCGTGGTACTCAGTAACTTAACTTAAATACTTTTAGTAAATATCTTCTACAAGCCTGGTCCAGAGGAATATTGTCGGCGCGAGACGTGATTTAGTCGGTTCTCCCCTCCTTCCCACTTGTTACCTCTCTCGGCATTTCGGGCGCGTGGAGGAGCGGTGGATCGGCTTCGCCTTCACGTTGAGGTGGAAAGCGCGAATTACCATCTCGTTGAGCGAATGACCATTCAGTGACGTCATGGACTTTAAGCGCAGAATTTTTGAATAAATATTTCGCCGCCATAATTGCTAAAAAAAAATGTTTTTTCGCCTAAAATTTATTTTTTGACACAAGTGTCCCAACTAGGTCACTTAATAAATAAAGTTTTTTTGTTTGTTTTCTATGGTCTTTTTAGGCGAAACGAAATACCACAAAAGCGCGCGAGCGAGGTGAATTCAAATCCTAACTGGATCAGGAAAACTAACATTCTGAGTCACAGTGGCGCCACACTGTCGTCCGCGTGCTTTTACTTGAGCTAATTCAGCCTCCGGTTTCGAGACGCGGTGGCACTCGGTACGCGGTGGTTGCTCGTTAATTCGTCAAACATAACGTGTCACTGAGGTTCCTAAACGTCCTGCAAATGTAACGATATATTGTGTCCGATAGCTCCAAAAAACACTGTAGGAGTCGCTTGAGTATTTGATCGTTTCCTGGAAACTAAGGTAATCGACCTTCAACCGCTCGGATGGGGAACCCCGAAGGCTCGCACCGAGGATAGGGGGATGAGCGGCTTGAGCCCTTTTTAATCTTTGGCCCGGGAAGGAGACAGACATTCTTGCCTGTCGCCGCGAGGGAGTGGCACCCTCCCCGACTTTGTCGTCACGGCGCGTTCCCAGTGACGGCTTGTCCACTCGGGAGACTGCTACAATAAGGTTTTAGCGATGAGGGGCGCCGGTCTGGGTCCACTTGGACTCCATTACGCTTTACTCGTTAACTTCGAAGGACACGGCTCCAATTTGTTTTGACGCGGCGAAGTGGGGGGTGTTTTCCCCGTAAAGTAGTAAAGTATCGCCCCGATTGGAGAGTTCCCCAAGGGGTTTAGCATTCTTTCTCTTCTTAGAAAAGGGAAACACCGAGTTCTCTGGCCTTTCTGTGATTGGTGGAGGACCCACTGGCACTGGGGCCAATAGAATTGTATAGTCCTGATTGGACAGGCCCTGTGTCAGCGCGGAGTTTTCTCGATCGCGCTGGCGAGGAAACGTTGAGTTTGAACAAGCCCGTGCGCGGAGCAAGTTATCTCCCGCGGTCCGCCGGTCCGCGTAGGTTTGTCGCGAGCGACGAGCAGTTTCTTTTGAGCCTCACCGTGCGCGGTGGGCACTTTGCGCCGAGGCTCGTTTTTTTCGCCTTTTATACTGCCGTGAGCGGACAGTAGAGTTCTGTAACCAAGTTTGCTGTTGTCGTTTTAATATATTTGTTTTTATCAATCGTTGCTCTCGACTTTGAGCGTCTTTCCTCGAAGCTCCACCACCACCAACGAGCAAGAAGCGACCATCCAGCGCGGCAGTCCACGATCGCCCGGCCCTGGCCTACGACTTCTAGGAAGGACCGGGACAAAACAACCTGGCCCTCAGGGAGGGGCAATTTTTTACCACCACTTTACTGTTACTTTTGATTTCATGTTTTTTTGAAGCGATAAGCCATGAGTACGAACTTCAATCACGATTAAACCGCCACGGAGCGACTCCATAGTGTTTATTATATTTCTCAATCATAATTTTAAATTATACATTTTTCTCAATCAAATTGGGAACCTGATGACACCAGGAAAAAACATAATATTCGTTCTTTTTGTCGAGGTTAACAGAACGCCAATTTATTTCATTTTTAAACTAAAACAAAAGCAATATTATTTAAAAGTAACCAGTAACATAACTTGATAGGCGATACCATAAAATAGTTACAAAATATTTTACACGGTTGTCTTTTAAACTACTAACAGGAGGGTTACTGCGATCCATCAAAAAGTAATTACTACTAAAGTCATTACTTCTAACTGCTTGTTAGTCGCTAGGTCGTGTCAGCCTACATTCTTGAAGTGAAACTTTATGGAGTTTGTGCCAAATCAAAGGACATCTGGCACGCTCCGCAGAAGGACTAAGGATTGATTTTTTTTCTTTTTTTTTTTTTGTGGTGCAACCGAAATTTTGGTGACACGGCACCAACTTTGAATAAGCCTCCTTCACACAGGGAATACTACGGCCAAAATTCGCGCTGGCCAACGGGGGTCCGCAGGCTATAAATTTGAATCGGAGCTACCAAGGCGGCCTCCTACGTTCTCTGAGACTAGATTTTAGTTATGCGAAAACTAATGTTAATCGGGAAAGAAATAAGTTGTTAAGAACAATTCTGTTATAGCAGACAGCGTTAACGCACTTCGTTACAGTTTCACATTACCTGCTACAACAGCAATAATCGGGAAGGCTTGAATCTTCATGGTGAGTTGTGGACGTCCTAGTGGCGCTTTCAGAAAGCATGGCCCCGTCATTGGCTTTTATAGTTCCCAAATATTGGAAGAGCGCAGTTGTCAATACACAACGTGAAATAAAAAGAATAGAGTATTGCCAGGATTTGACATTTCCGAAATATATTTTGTTTCCGACAACACTTTTCTCTATAGTTTTCTTTTTCCTCTGTTTATCAAACATAAAGCATGACATATAAATTCACAAGAAAAACCTTTACAATGGTGAAGCTCTCTATATTTTTCCTCAGATGTCCAGCATGTGCAGGTTTGGAAAAAGAAAACTTCTACCTACTAGAAAGAGAATTCAGTGTGCTTTAGTTTCTTTATACATTATTATGGCTACGACGCACACGTTTCTCCAGTTTTCGAGCCATAAACATAGTCGAATATCGTCCTATCTTCACATGTACACGTGTAAGCAACATTCACTTCCCTCCCACCGCCTTCCCCTCCCAAAAAAACATTTGATTGCAAAAAGAACATTCAACGTTTGCGACAGACTTTATTTATCATTTTAAGTCCGACCTCAATACCATTACTTAAATATTTATTTATTTATTTATTTATTTTCAGTACCTACCAACGGCCAGAAGTCTAGGATAGTAGAGCACCAAGTCATATTATAAAGGTGAAAACGACAAAACAAATAAATCCAGAAAACGACCCGGCGGCAACGCACTACACCAGATTTTCAACGCTTTTCTTGAATGACGTGATGTCATCATTAAAAGAAGTCAAGGCGCGTATGTACATTATTAAAATAGTTCTGTATGCGAACTTCAGGAGAGAAACAATGCGTGGGATTAACGGCAAACGCGCGGCTGTTGCGAAAATATCTAACAGGCAAATTTAGACTGATTCAAGACACAACAAAAAGAAAGTCATAATACCCACGCAGACACTTGAACAAAAATTTGAGATCACGTCTGCCGCGTCTTGTTTTTAACTGCACCAATCTTAAGCGATTGAGCACATTCATATATGAGTAGGGCTCAGAGAGGTCTTGTCTTGCGTGAAACGTACGTGCAAATCGCTTTTAGACACGCTCTAACGTTGGTGCAGCAGTGGCACTAAGGTTGTTCCAGACAACTGAAGCAAAGTGTAATTTGGGCAGAATAAGGCTTCTGTACAATACAAAAAAAAAACAAAAAAAGATGAAGGAGCGCGAACCACAGAACTAAGGCGAGTAACAATGCCCAACACTTTAAGAGAGGCTCACAGGATTATTTCAACATGACCGTTGAAGTTCAGCTTTTCATCTAGCGTAACGCCAAGATCCCGCACAACCAACACACGTTTAATAACAGGGTTGTCTAAACAGTAACAAAGAAAAACAGAGAGGATTTTGCGCGTGAACGAAATGACCTGCGTTTTGCGAAGATTTAGGTCAAGCTGATTATCTACACACCACGTACACATAGCATCGATGTCGATTTGCAGCAAGGCGCTGTCATGAAGACATTGAATTTTGCGATATAGCTTTATATCTTCAGCGAACTGGGACAGGGTGGAGTGCTTTATCACTTCATGAATGTCATTAACAAACATATCTTATTAAAAACCAAAGGACCTAAGTTTGAACCTTGCGGCACTCCGGAGGTAACCGAAAACAAATGCGACTTGGCTTGCCGTCGGAAACGCAGTTTAGTCTATCTCGTAGATATCTAGAAAATCACGAACAGGAACAGACACCTGAACCATGAAGAGATAATTTACGAAGTAAGATTCTATGACTAACACAATCAAAGGCCTTACTGCAATCGAAATCGATTGTATCAGTTTGTTCTCGACAGGAAATGCTTGGTGACACGTCACTCAGGAAAGTGACAAGGTTTCAACGGAACGGCCGCTCATAAACCATGCTGATTCTCAAATGTGACTTGTTTGAAGATGCTAGACAGATGCATGCGAACAACTTTTCCAAACAATTTAGAGAATCCCGCTAACAGAGAGATGGTCTGTAGTTACCCACTGAGGTAGGGTTTTCTGATTTCAGTAATGGAGTCAAGACACCTTTCTTCCAAGAGCTCGGAGACATAGAATGTTTAAAAGACAATGTAAATATTTGAACGAGCAAAGGAGAAAACATACCTGCACAGCCTTTTACAATGAACGAGGGGATACCGTCGTGACCAGAAGCTTTCTTGGGAGGAACCTTCATAATGGCGACTAAAACGTCGTCAAGCGTAATGATAGGTGGTGCGAAATTATTACATAATCGTGGAGGGGAGTCACTTAGGTGTTGGTTTTTAGGCAACGAATAGACGAACCAAAAATGACTGGCAAAGATATTGCAAACATCATCATCGCCGCAGGTACTTACAAATGTGTAGCTGTGAATGTAAGGATAAATTTGCGCATACAAACACTTATTAACCCGCTTGGCCTTTCCAAACTTCCGAAACCTTCATTGTACCTCATATCTCAGCGAGTAAATTTTGGTGCGTACTCAAGGAGATCGTGCGAGGTGAGAAAAGCGCAGTTGACATGGACACAAAGGAAGAAGTGCAGAGACACAGTGCTGACTGTCATCTGGAGGTTAATTTTGCAAAGAACCGAAGGAGTAAAAATAACGAAGGGGAAAAAGTGTATAGGTTTCGACTCACCTTTAAGGTTAGGCAGAAACCAACATCCAGACATGCTGGTGCCTTATGTTTATGCACTTTTCCACCAAGTCAGGCGTGTGGCAAAAAAGAACAGTACGAACGATGTATTTTAGGTGATAGGCTTGTAGCAAATGAACTTACGCAAACAAACTACAATAATAAAAATTCTCCGGGACACCGTTGAGCAACAAGGCGACATTTCTTTTCGAAAGACCACTGGGGTAAATCTGAACTTGTTTTTCGAGTTGTTAAGTGTATATTTGACGAAGGCAGTGGTGGCATATTACCCTGCGTGCAGCTGACAAACTAGCTAGTGTACTCGTGGCCTAAAGGTTATCGGGCTTGCGTTCCGCGCAGAAAGCCAGGGCTCCATGGCTGGCCACCGGTTCACTTTTTTATTGACTCTATTGTGATGTTCTAGTAAATTCAAGAATCATATTCCTGATTCGAGGTTAGAATGCTCTACGCGCCGAACCTTCTACGCCGATTGTTTTAGAAGCCCACTTGTGTGCAAAACGGCTCCGCGTGGCAAGCCGCAGTCTGTCTCTCCCCTGCATTCGATCCTGCTGTAACGCAGTCTTCGACACCCGCGACGCTCTGTTGTTGTGGTCTGTTTGCTATTTGTTTTGGGCACAAGTTCGGCACATTAAGCATTCCGTTTACCTCAGTTATAACTTGTTCGTCACCTCCTCATTCGTGACAATATCAAGATAAAAAAGAAGTGCAAAAGAATGGCGTATTTAGTGGATCTAGGGTGGCCCCACCATTATGTCTTTTGTATCGGGCAGCATGCGACAGAATAATCTAAAATAACCCAAACGACACAAGGATCAGTTATCGTCATGTAGGTGGATGCTTTCTTGATACTAAAAGCCCCAGAAAAGGGTGATCAGAAAGAAGTATAGAGAGAAAATATCATGAGATGCTTACAAGAAAGCTGCCCGTATCTGGTATGCAGAAATGAATCACCCGGTAACAATTCCACAAAAGTTCCTAGATCTTGCGATGGAATTCGAACAAGGCCACGTTTGCTGGAAATACGAACCCCGGTCACCAAAGGGGTTTCTGCCACGTTTGTGTGGACACTGAACAACAATCAAGAGAAATGTTGCCACCACAGCGCTTAATTGTCTCTGCCCTCAACAAATCTTGCGAACACCAATGTAGTCCAAGCTTTGAAAAACAGATTTTCGGACTGCGCGATGCAGGAAACCCGATAGCTCTCCTGTGAGAACATACGCAACAAATTGAAACGCACAACGCACAGCAGCAGACTATGAAGAAAAAGAAAACGCCCAAGAAAATAACACCTTTATGCTAAAATTCACGGGATTTTCTGCAGGATAAAAAAGATCGCAGAAAGACAACATTCAAGTGGTTTGCTCAGCACCTAAAAAAGCATACTGTACGTGCCGAAAAGTTATCCCACCAACAAACCAACGAAAACATGCGACACTTCCCACAGAACAAGATATGCCCAGTGCCAAACAGGAGTTGTCATTCACATTCCCGTTTCGTGCGGTAAATGTTACGTTTGACAAACAGGCCGTTGCATAAGCGACGGAATCAGAGAACATGCATTATCTGTGAAGGGCACAGCAGCAGTTCATTTACCAGCTTACTGTAAGACTTGCAAATGAAGTGCAGCATTCAACAACATCACCATTCGGGCAAAAAGGAAGAATCAGTTTGCACGTGAAATGCTCGGGGCACTGGCCATCGAAGAACAAGGAAGAGATTGTGTTAGCACCTCGTCCATAACTATCCATAGCAAAGAAAATCAGTATTTGCGGTGCGCTTCACCCGGATGACTGTCCCCCACAATCCACTGCAAAGAAGATCCAAATTTGCGATGTGCTTCACCGAGATAACTCATAGGAAGTGCGGTTAAAGCTACGTTTAATCATTTTTTTACGTAAATGTTATTTAAAACTGATAGTTAATTTAGGTATATATGAACAGCTTGTAAAAAGGACAATTGCACATGCGAAAGAGAATTGTACTAAACCAAAGTTGTTAGTCTGCTGGTATCTATTTTCTTGTCCTTTCTGCGTCTATTTCTGTAAATTAAAGCTGACGCAGCACTTGTATTTTAGGTGCCGCAAAAATTATCTCGGCTGTGCCTCGCCGTTAAACGGAGGTGGAGCCCGTGAGCTTCAATGTCCTATCAACCACCGCAAGCCCTTTGTCTCTTATGCCACAGGTGTTGTGAACCAGATTCACGTCACTTGTGGTAGAGTTTAAAAGAGCTAAAACACAAGGGGCAATTGAAAAAAAAAAACACCCAGCGCTTCTTTGATTTGTTCGTTGTGTTTTAGCGCTTTTACAACCGAAACTATGAATCACCAACTAGCCCAAGTGCACACCCTTCTATCGTGGTAGAGTGTGCATTGGACATACGATGATATGGCTGTACATGAAGGCAAAGGAGCACTCTTCTCCTTTCTACGTTCCATGATTTGACTATCATCCTGCGTTAAAAATATCAGATCATCATGAGGATCGATCAACCATTTAACGTTCCATCGAGAGGAGATGACGAATATGATAGTGCACCGACGGTATCCATAGGGGGTGATGAAGTACGTTTTATCATTTTCCTTTTTCTCTTACTTGTGTTTACTTTTCTCTTTCGACGAAAATAAAGGCACGTTTGCACGCTTGCGTTTTACTGCGAGCGACTGAAAAAAGGTCGGCTTTTAGGCCCCTTTTAATGCTTACGATCGGCTGTACAGGGATAGGCCTGCAGCTCTCGAGTTTGAGAAATGCGTCTTATTAGCGAAAATTAATATTTTCGTTGACGTTTTTGTTGTGCGTTATGAGGCTCTCTCACATTGCTCGCGGGCGCCAAACTAACATAACTTTATTCCTGAATATAAATTTAAAACAAAAACAACAAAAACAGAAAGCAACGAGAGAAGCATTTTTATCATTTTAATAGCACACTAAAAGCTCACGCGGCATTTTTCTGTTGTTTATTTCAACAATATTTGATCGCATCTTCGATCAACTCGCACCGGAAAAAGAACATTGCACAGCGTTCTTCTGTCGTGCCGCACGAAGCCGGCGCAACATTGAGGACGAACTGTGTCACGCCGGTGCACCACTGGGACTGCCAAAAGAGGTCACCCCTCGATTTGCTCGTAATTTTTTTGCGTACGCCCGCGCGCGGTGCTGTCAAATACTCCTGGCATTTTAATTTCAGATTTCCCGGTCCCACAGAAATGAACACTGGGGACGTGGTTGTCGATGGGGCCACGAAGCGGGTGACTATTCCGCAGGTATATGCGCGTCATTCTTGGTTCAAGAAAGAGTACTACCACATAATAGCCGTACCTCGGTGTCATCTAAACACCTGACTATGCTTTCCACTAAGCTCGTACCTTACGGGCGCTCCTTGCCACCGCAGCAGTCACCCGTAATAGCGGCGATGGTAAGAAGCTCGTCGTCGTCGCTTTCAGAAGAGCCGGGGGATTCGTCGAGAGCCGCTGAAAGGCGCATTCGTTTTCGCAATGTCCTCATGTCGATCGACTGCGCGTCGGCTATTCCCGCCATCTCCTCGAATTCAGCTCCTGGCCGCAATGCCTGATGGGAATGCACCCTAGCGTACCGTCTTTTTTCTCTATGCCCTGACCTGTTCTCCTCGCGAAACTGGGGGGCACGGTGGAAGAAAAACTTTTGGGTGATGACCCTCCGTCCGACGCGGCGGCCACATTATGTTCGGCGCACCGAACGCGCTTCACTAGCACGGGGATAGATGGCGCCCAAGTATGGGGTCCCTCCCAAACCGACCGCACCGGTTGTTTCTCCCAGCGGTGGTCCCGCATTCCAGCGCTCACCGCTTCTTGTTGTTCCTCACCGCCGCGACGCCGCCACCAAGTCGCCGGAGTCCGTAAAGCAGTGTTTACTTCATTTATGTGTACTTATATTGAAGTGACTGACTTTCGAATGGCTTGTGAAGTATATTATGCGTTCTTTACTCGTTTCCTCTGTAGTGTGTGGTCCAATTATCGCTTTACGTTGGCACATTGTCACTTATTTCCCCTTCTCCAGTGCGGTTTCTGTTTTTTAAACGAGAACATTCCGATGATGAGTGATCGTGACAAAAATACTCGTAGAAATATAAAACTTCCCGACGCAATTCTACTGTGCTTTCAATAATTTACAGTAATTTAAAATAAGTCCATTAAACAGCTGGATCATACTCGCATGTTATGTGCGACAGCATGTTTACTAACAGTTCCGTAAATTGTTTACACACATTGCGTGGCTTTATACGAGGTCGAGGCCAACAAGGCTCATGCCTTGTTGGCAAAATAAATTCTGATGTTGTTACATAGTGATGCCTAAACTGTTCTTTACATGCGCAGAAAGGTATTAGCATTACAAACGGTCTGTACATTCGATGTCAATTGGTACTGTGGCACATACAAACTATGTGAGTAGAAAACATTTTTATTTATCATGACATAGCGACTGAAATGAAGACACAGTATGATAACATAATGACTAAAACTATGGCACAGAAACATGACACAGTGACTGAAAGTAAAACAGGAGTAGAGGTTATAGGACATCAAGCACTTTTCATCTATACCTTCACAATCTGGTGTCAACCCGCCTTCCGGGTAAAAAAAAAAAATACCTGACAAGTATTTTTTTAATAAAATGTACACAAAAGCTGAAATAACTGCATACTAACAAAGAACGCCATTTTGTACATCCTGTGTTTCACGCCAACGCTGTTAAAGGGGTACTCCGGCGATTTTTTGAGCTACCTCAACTAACTTTACTTTCTAACTCCCCGGCCTTTAGCCTTTTCGCTATGCTATTTAGTATCGCGAAATTCATAATAGTTATTGTGAAACCGGCAAATGAAAATGATGCAAAAACCAACATTCAAATATACCCGCACAATTCAGCGCCGTGACGTCAGTGGCGGGCAGGCTTGCCAGTCGAGCAAGCAGTCTAAGAAATAGAATCTGACAATTATTCGTTCCGTGCTGGAGCGCGGGGAGCGGAGCGAGCTTCCAAAGCGTTCATTTGACACCATGAAACTGCTTCGAATCAGTGGGGAACAAATTCTATAGTCCGAAAAGTGAACCCCGGCCTTCCACTGACGTTACTTTTTCGTTGTTGCCAGTAGAGACTTTCAGTTTGAAAAACACGGTGAGGGCCAAAACTGAAAATTCAATAACTTCGTGCGAAAACAATATTTTGACCTAATATTTGGGATACTATTTTAGCAATGTTTGTTAGTTAGTTTAGCAAAATTTCAAGCAAATCGGAGACCATGAAGAAATCGCCGGAGTACCCCTTTAAACTAAGGCGAGAACTGCTTTGTTGACTTCTTCTTTTCCTGAGCTTGTTTTTTATACTCATGGTAATATGCTTACAACGTTGTCGCAGTCGCATGCTGAAGTAGCAGAGGAGCAGCTGGTCAATCATTTCTTCTTTGTGTTCAGCGCATGGAAACGTTATTGTGCATTTGTCAAGAAGACTCTTGAATTTGTCCCAGTATATGGTCTGGTGGCTTTTATTTTCCGCGAAGAACTGTTCGCTTTTTTTTTTTCAGTAGCTAAAAAAGGTTCCTGTTGGGGTGCATAAGGCCTCATCTGTTCTTCACGTTTGTCTTTGCTGCCTCAGCATAATTGTTCTTGCCGATGCTGAAAGCGGATCGGCATGCAGGGAAGCGTGTAGCTTTTTTTTCATTTTAATAGACACACACACAAAAAACAAAAAAAACAGTTGCATAATAAAGTATGCAGTCCACAGCCTCGGTTCCTTCAGCCTTTTCTGCCCAGACATCTTCGCATTCCCAGTTGTCAACAAAAATTAGAATGCCAGGCTTGGTCTTCACTAGGTAAACGAGATGAGGAGACAACGGGCTTTCATCGTCCGTTCTGATCGGGGCTCTTATATCTTACAGGTCAAGAGGTGTCATGAGTTCAAGAAGTGACTTACAGGTCAAGAGGTGAGCTCACATTGATAGGCCGCTAAGAGCGGCACTTGATGGTTTCGCATCCACGTTGAAAATGAACTGTGGAAGCTCGTTATCAGGTCGTGCTCACCAGTCGCGCCCACAGCTATGGCCGCCAGTGAATACTCCCTATGTAAGAGGTCGTGTCTTAAATGAAATTAGGCAGATGTGCAGCACATATTCTTAAGCCTTTCAAACGCCGCTCGCCATTTATCGTGGAAATGCTTCACTAAAAGTTTCTTCGGAAACTTTGGTTGCCACACATTGAGTATAGAATTCCACTAAAATTGTTAAAACTACTCATATATTACTATGTCTTCACGAAAAAAAAAACACCAAAAATAAGGGTTTTCGTTGCACAAATTTTTGTGCAGAGCGTGTAAGGGGTAATACAAATACGCAGAAAACACAATTTGCAGACACGCCGTACGTTGTTTATTGAAACAACCTACCACAGATAAGCGGGCGTTTCATTCCTCTATCTGCGGTTCCGTTTCGTTTGTGTCTGATTCATAGCTTGTCTGACGAGTCTCAAGCGCTTTCCTGATCCTACTCTTCCTCTTCCTCTTCCTCTTCCTCTTCCTCTTCCTCCTCCTCTCCTCCCTCATCTCCTTCCGTTTCCACTTCTTCTTCCCCTTCTTCATACTCCCCCTCGTTTTCACCATCATCATTCGACTCTTCCCCTGGCTTCTCCTCTTCTGTGTTATCGTCTGCAGAATCCGTTGGATAGGGACATCCCTCTTCTGTGCACTTGCTTACTTTATCGCCGTACTGCAAAAAAAAAAGTGAATTTAAGCAGTGATAGGGTGCAGGCGAGCTGGTAATGAATCGACATCTTGTAAACCCTGAGATGGGGAACAAAAAAAAAAAGAAGAAAAACGGTCCAAGAACACAAAATTTGTTGTCTTTGTCCGTTTTTCTTCTTTTTTTTTTGTTTGTTTTGTTCCTTATCTCAGAATTTACAAGATGTAAAGTCAAACACGTATTTTCGTGCCACACTTCATATCGTAGCGCTCCTGAAGTTGTTCCGGAAGACAATTTGAAAGCCAAGGCCATTGGAAACATACTGATACAGCTAATTTAATGATATCGCACGACTTCTCGGTGATCGGGGCAACCGATCTAACTGACTGTCAAGTATGCAAGGCATTTTTCGAAACTGAAAATATACTTTATAGGTAACTTAAATATAAAAAAGTGTTACCTTGTGGAATACATAATGTTTATAATTTTTAGGTTCTAAACAAATCCAGTCAGCTATTTCTAGACCGTCATCAGGCTAGGCTATGAAAGGCGATAAACTTTAGTTTGTTTGTTTCATTAAAGGCTACACGGGAAATATGGGAGTTAGACGGGTGTCGTGTTAACCCTGCATGTATAAGACATGTCGGACAATAAATGAGGCACAAACATCACCATAAGATTTCTAATTGACTGTTATCTGTAGATTAACTTTTTAGGTTATAAAACTTGGGGTGAAGCTGCAGTTGGAGTTTTAAAGTGACCCATTTCGAGAGGCCAAATAACTGTTTGCGAGATACCAACGGGCTACCAGATATTCGATCACTGTTCGCGTTTCTAAGGCCTGATTCCAAGACGGGACTCAGAAAGAGCGCTGGAACTTGCGTTCATAGTTAAACAATTACTTAAGAATTATATTTGTTTCTTTCCAGTGCATTAACAAAGCTGACGCTTTGTTAATGATGCACAAAAGTGAGATTGTAACTTTTTCTGGAACAACTCAATTGCAAGACATATTGACGTGGTCGTTTCGCGCACATCGTGATTATTTCAGGAGCTTGTCCTTCTCAAACCTGCGGACGAGAAATGTTTATAAATAAACATTACGAACCGAAGTTCCGGCGATTTATCTACGTTTAACCTTGAAGCCATTGAGAAGAGCGCGAACGTTTATAGTTGAATATCTGTAATGCAATCGTCTTTACTCGATTCTTTTACACTGATTTAAAAGCTAATAATTGCTGCATTTAAAACTGGAAGGGAAACATAAACCACTAAACCATAAAGTTAACAATTCATAAATACGACTGGGGTGTTTAGTTAGCTTACCATGATGCCCCTCACCCCACCTAATATTCGAAGAAACCCGCAAACACGCGTTCCTGCAAATGTAACCACGTTTCGTAAAAAAAGAAAGTAAGGTCCTGTATATTTGACAAAATATGTTTAACTGAATTTTTCCAACTCAAAAGGATTAAAACTTAAAATGCAATGTCTTTCTCTTATTTTCATCGCTCACCCAATCAATTCTCGTGTATTGCAGATTTACTAATACCTACCTTGCACTTTGTTCCAACTGGATACATCTTTTCATCGTAGTTGTCACCGTCCTTGTAGGGTTTGCAAAAGTAATTGCAGCTTTTCACCGTTTCTCCGTTCTTGAGCTAACAAAATATAAAATATATAAAATTTGCAGGAAAGGCTTTAATGTGCGATTGTACGCTGCCCAACACTTTTACCGCCATTGCGATTCCGCTATTTTAGCAGATGTCTTTTTCTTTTAAAGGGGAAAGGGGGGGGGGGGGGGACATTGCACAACATTATTAGTTTGCATGGAATATTCTTCGTTTGCAAAACGATCTGCAACGCCCGTTTATTGTGGGCTGGTTATATTTTGGCAATCAATGAACTTTGGGCATGAGCCGCACCAGAGTGTTGACAATATCACGATTAGAAGCTTTTCGAGGTTCGAAGTTTAAACTCTTTTGGGAGGAAGAGAAAATGAATCACACGATAAGTTTGACTAATTTTGTGTTATTGCTCAATCACAGATTAGTTTGAACAATATTTTTTGTACTATGAAAATGATGTGTTGTTTTCAACATAATGTTGCAAATAGTGATATTGACTAGCCTCTGCTTGTTCGTAAAGTTATTTTTCATGTCAATGTGTGCTGTATCAAACATGCATTTTTTTCCTTTCATATATCTTCGCTCACCATGCAACATTTTACCCCTTTCTCGGATCCATCTTCTTTATAAAAGTGTCGTCACTCAGAATCTCGACATTGGTGTTGTAGGAATTCCCTTGCTGCTACCCCTTTCAGGGAATGACACAGCGCCCCGGTTCAACAACACAAACATTTAATGGCCGTCATTGCCCGCGCCGGCATCCCAAAATCCCCCCGCATACGCTTCGACGGTTCTTTGTGGCAGAGCGCCGCTCGCGTGGCCAGTTGCCCTTGGCCCCCTCGCGGTGCAGATTACCACTGGCGATTGTCAGATAGTCAACTTGGGTCAAACGATTTAAATCTCCACGTCGCACAAGTTGTAGGTCTATGAGTTCTGCCGCATGTTGAATTATTTGAGTTTTACTAATTTCCATTTTTGTGCCTTGTTCTGTTTAGTATAAACGTGTCTTGAGTGACGTTATGTACATATTCGTGTTTCTTACTTATAGTATTTTTGTTGAAGTGCACCAATCTAAAGACCGGTGTGGTTGTGTTAGTTCATTGAACATATACATTCTTATTTTTGTTTTATATTACCAGGACCATGACTCATTACCTAGTTTCCGGTTCAGGAGGAAGAAGTGACTAAAATATATCGCAGGATTTACTGTTCCCATTGCAATTTTAAAGTTGCATGTCCCCCCTACAACAGCCCTAGACCCTGCAGTAAGCTTTTCTCCATGTCACGTAATCACATCGGGTAAGGCTTTTTACATGTAATGTTCCTTGAAACGCTCTGTGTCGCCTAGCCTGTACCATCTTCAGATATCCTATCAACTATTTCATTATGAACATTTTCAATCATCACACTACGAGAATACATCTGTTTGTGACTCGGAGTTTTAAGGAAGCACGTATTGGCACACCTTGACATCGAAGTCGGTAACGAAATCCTTTTTTGATGCAAGACTGCACCATTATTGGACACAACTCACTCAGCGTCATGTCGTCTAGTCACCTACGGTTTTCCTTTCTTCTGGTTAGGCTGGCCATTGTGACGTTATAAACGCTTGACATTATGGTAGAAGACGCTCGCAAGAAGTCTCCAATGCTTCAATCACCAGTGCCTATTTCGTGTGGACCGGTTTATTTGGCACCTACCCCCAACACTCTACGTTCAAGCACAATGAGTGGCAATCTGATAGAGCGCCACCTGTTGGCTTTTTGCTGTCAGTCCTGGCGCTAACTTCTACAAATATCATTGGCAACTGCACCTCACCATGCCAAGCGACTGAAATAGATCTGCTCTTGCTGCCAAACAACACGTCTTGATGATCCGATCACCCAGTCCCTGTGGTAATCGTTCTTGACTGCTACCAGTGCGTTAACAGTCAAGTGAGGTTTCCGTTTTTTATTGTTGGAGTACAATCTACAGAAAGTCCCATTCTTCACCTCCCTGTTAAGGCACGACACGACCGGCACGCCATCTCCACGCCGTTTTATGCTTCAGGTTAGTTTTTTAAGTAATTCCAAGCGGTGTCGATCCAATGACACATTTTCGTTCAAAGTATCGGGCACCTTCGTCGGAAAGTGCATACCAGCTCCGCAGTAGCACGTTACCCTCGAAAAAGAGTTGTATCTTTTCCTTGAAGTGTTATGTCAAAGTTTTGTGCTGATTTTGGTAGGTGATATGTTGTTAAAACTCGGTCTCGTGATAAGGGCCTAATTTACAATTAAGACTTTCTAAGTATACGAGCATAGAAGCTTTTTGTTTTTAATTTTTGCGTTTTTTAACTTACATCGCTATATGCCATAACAGGCTAAAACCAATCAAAATAAATAAATCGGATCAAATTACAAAGAAAGGAAACTTGCTGTGATAAAGGCGCAGGAGGAACAGCCTAAAGCAGGTCTGACAATTTGTCAAAAGGTTGAGACCGGTAAGGCTACATTGCTCAACCTTGGAATGCTTTTCACTGTACACGAGTTTACTGACACTAATGGGACGTAAGTATACTCGCAAGCAACGCCACTGACCAAGAAAGACCTTTGTTGCGGTAAAATGTCGAGGACAAATGCGAGCGTTTTCGTTGAATTTCTCCTACGCGAAACTTGATGGCGCGTGGCTGGGCGGTCACAGTATCTCCCAGTGACGACACTTGAATGTGGCTCATAGACTGGACCCGAGCACTGCGTGATCCCTCAATTCTGGCTCGTGATAATCAAAAGCTGGAGAAGCATTCGGGTAGTGGCCCGTGTCCAGTCGAGGCAATGACGGCAATAGCCGAACCATAAAAATGTCTGGAACTTGGCGATTGTTCTGTGATTTGCCTACCCCTTCAAAATTGACGGCATATAATCGGCTCTAGATCAGGTGGCGTCTTGTTCTGGTTGCGAGTTCAGGGGGTAAACGCTACTTGCTTTTTTATATTTTTTCTGCGACTCTCAATGCGTGTCGTGAAAAACGAACGCGTTTTTCATATTTCATTAACGTCAGCTTTCGTTCTCAGCGGTATTTGCGCTAAATACAAAAATTCTTGCATCACCCGTTTTGGGCAAGTTGTAGTTGTTCAGGTATTTCTTTGGATGCTGATTTTGAACGTGATTTGCCGTCTTTAGAGGCAAATATTTAAATGTGGTCTTTGGTGTATTTTATAGACCACCCAACAGCATCGAAGCTGTGTTGCATCATTCCATGATGCCTTTTTGCTCTATCTTCGCTACACACCGGGGGCAGTTTGATTATCCCAGGTGATTTCAATTATTTTTAATCGATTGGACTCAAGCTTTTCTTTGCTCTTCACATAAAACTGCCGAATGTGTAAATGCTATCGATGTCTGCCTTGACCTTAGCTTCTCGCAGCTAGTAACAATGCAAAATCGGTCCACTACTTTCTCTCTAAATATCCTAGATCTCATCATTACAACGCAAGCAGATATATTTCAGCCAATTACAACCTTTCTTCAGATATTTTATAATAAAATAATGTTCACCCAAGTATATTTACAAAAAAAAAATTGCTAGCAAACCAAATAAAGCTATTCCAGGCCTAATTATAGGCCTGGAATAACTTACGCTATTCCAGGCCAATAATACCTAAACGCGATTAACTGTGAATTAGAATGCATCTGTAAAAAATATTTTTTCCTGGAGTTCACTATTACACTGCCGAATAAAGCTGGCAGCTCTACAACAATAAAATTAATGCTTTGGTCGAAAAGTGCATTTATTCAAGTTTTATCCAAACGTCTAAAACTTGTTCCTGGTTTACAGTCGGCCTAAAAAGTCATCGCGATAAAAACAAAAACGAAAAAACCGTCTCATTAGGCGTGTTAGGAACCAAGACAGTCCATTAGATAGGCAGGCGCTTTATAAGTGAAAATAAATGCAAGCAAGGAATTGAATCCGCTTGAAAAGCGTACTACCAAACCACACTACGCGATATGTTGCGCGAACCCCAAAACATTTTGGTCCGAAATGAATCCTAAACCTGCTGATGTATTAACCCTAACTAATACTTCTGGTGATATGCTTTCCGATGTTGAGAGTGCCAGTGTTTTAAATTTAGCTTTTGTTTTTTGTAGCTTTTCATGAGGGTACAGCAGCGCACTCAATAAGTTAATGACCATCATCACATGGAAAATATTGAGTTAACTCTGACTGAAATAGAGAAAAGGATTGTAAACCTAACACCCTGTTCTTCAATTGGCAATGCCAAAATTAATTCTAAATTATTCATTCTATTAAGATTGTTTCTAGTGCCATATTGGCTGCAATCGTCTCACAAATAATGCTCAATGATTTTGTCCCTAAAAACTGAAAGGTCGGTCAAATCATTCCGCTTTTTGAATCCGGTGATCGCAACTCCCCTTCAAACAATATCGTTTACAAGCGTGGATTCTAAATTACTTGACCCTGATCATTCCAACGCCATTCGGTTTTCGGAAGAGCCCACTTTAATAATGATAACCATTGCGGGTTCCGTAAGGGTCATTTATGTGACACACAACTCGCAGGCTTCATTGATGCCCTTCCAGTTTGGATGAACACTTCCTCTCAGGTCGACGCTATTTTTTTTCGACTTTCTAAAAGCGTTTGACCGAGTCCCCCATAAGCATCATGTGCACAAACTAGATCACCTCAAATTAGACAACGATGTTTTTTTATGAATAAAAGATTGGCTTTTCGGCAGGACTCCAATACACATTGTAAACTCTTAAAATTCATCGACCATATCCGTGTCTTCGGGTGTTCCCCAAGGCACTCTCCTTGGCCACTGCGTTTTTAATATAAATAAACGATTTACCATCGTGTGCTTTCTCCCAGATTCGTATATTTGCTGGTGACAGTAACATGTAGTGAAGGTCATACTAACACTGACACCATCACGCGGCAATATGACCTCAATAAGTTAACTGATTGGTGTACGTCATGAATAAAGTCACTTAACACCGCTAAATGGAAAGACATTTGATTCTTAAAAACTCAACCTCTTTGCACACATTCCTACATTATTAAATCTAACTTGATTGAATCGGGTACTTCCCACATATACCTTGGTCTAAATATTGATATGTATTTTTTCAACAAAATGTCATTTTTCTGTCACAGTTCTCATCTCCCCAATCGCTCTCTTCGCTACTTAGACATAGCCTTCGTCTCGCGCCTCCTAAATTAATAAAAAGACTGCATATCTTTCATGAATTCGACCAAAACTTGAGTACGCATTAGCTGTCTCGTATTTTTATCACGCATATCACATTAAAGGTTTAGAAGCTTTCTAAAACCGGTTGGCGCGTTTTTTTTTCTGGTTATTCTCTTTATTCAAGCATGCCCATCTTAAGACAAAAAAAACAGCCTTCGAGAATTGACCTTAAGAGGCGAACTTCATTCACAATGTTTCCTTCATCGCCTTTATTAGTCACTTTATCTTCGCCTAGGTCTCCTAATCCAGTCCTCACTGGTTACACCTCATCTAATTGACTGTTGCAAAATTATCCGCTACAACTGCCACTTTTCTTCATGCTTGCATTTCCTTTCCGCAGAACAGTAGTCTGGTGCAATGCGCTTCCTAATCACATCGTCACCGAGACTAATTCTGAGCGTTTTACAAAGTTGTTTTATATAAAATATCCAAGCAGGGCAACTCTAAATCGATAAATGAGAATTGCATGCGAATTAATCGTAACATTTGTTTTCAGGAAAGGATAAAATAGAAAGTTCTGTCTATAAAACGAGCAGGTGTTTGAAAATTTACCGAGCTTCTTAGGCCAGCATCGAAGTGACCATGAATTACATGGAAGAAGGGTTTGTGATATTTTTATTTAAGGTTCTTTGGTAGACTGCATGAGAAATAAAATGAGGGGTGTTTGAAACTAAAAAAAGAAGTTCACGAAATATATTCAGCTCTCAGCTACCTGAGTTCAAAAAGCCAGGCGTTTATAGTATTGTGATCTATATAATTTTACTTGACGGCACAAACACTACGAGGAACTTCGTTAACATATTTACGAAAGCATTCATAAATAAGCTGAAGGTTTAAAAAAGCCGCGACACCTTAACTAATGAGGTTTGTGAACGTGAGTTATACGACAGAGGGTTAATCGTCACCATACCTCAAATATTAACAACAACTGAGTCAATTAATTTTTAATTAGTGAAAATATACGTGTGATTCCAATTAGAAACTTGATGAGCGTCATCAAAACCACTAAATTAGCAATCTTTCGACAGTCTTTGTTCACGTGGGAAGCGCAGTAGTGCCCTAAAGTTACCACTCGCGCAACAGGCACAATGCTATGGTGCGAAAACGCGGATAAGAGACGAAAAACCGCTCGGGGGAGTTACTGCACTGCTAGCCTTGCTCCTGCTGCATGAGCGGCAACTTTAGCCCTCCACTGTGCCTTCCACGTCCTTCAAGTCTTTCTACTTTACTAATCTTGTGATTTTCGATGACGCTCGGCGAGTTTATAATTAGGGTCATATATTTATTTTTAATAATTTAATCGTTAATTAACATATTTTAGTTTATTAGCCTACTGATTGTTATGAATAGTCACGTGTACTATATTCCCTGCTCGTATAACTCATCTGCACACTCTATATTAAAGTAGCTTTTACGGCTTCTTTCAACGAATCTGCAAAAGTGTAAAAACAAACACCCTGTAGCTTTCTGTCGTTTATAAAGCACCCACCTGTGTTCTAACATCGTCCAGAGTCCTTTTCTGTGAAATCAGTCCCTCACGTTTTTCTCGTGTTTTGGCCAATAATGTCCATTATAATTTGAAGAATGTAAGATCGCAAGTGAGCGGGTGTATATCAAACATCTTAGTGAAAAACTCGTGACTGAGGTGTTGAGAGACGACGACAAGAAAGAGAAGAAGAACGTCTCAAGCACATGTAAACCTTTATTGAGGACAAGACCCTATATAAAGAATCCTGTCCTCAATGAAGGTTTAGTAATGTTTGAGACGTTCTCATTCTCTTCCTTGTCGTCGTCTGTCAATGCCAAAGTCTCGGGTTTTTCACAAAAATGTTTAATATAATGTGCATCTGAAATCGGTGGTTCTTAGTCTTAATTTAGTGAAGTATAAACTAAATTTTGTTTTCTGCGTCGCCCTGTCGTTCTTCCATTTTAAAAACCTTATCATCAACTTCATCATTATGTTATTTTATGATGAATCTGGTGCCCGTATAAAGATATGTATCTTCCCAGAAAACCCTTTCTCAATATCTCTATCGACTCACAGCATTTTGAGCATCCGCATCCCTTTTTGTACATGAGCGGTCTTCTGCTACTCTTTCATCTGCACGTTCATTTGGCTCATTGCCGGCTGGAGCGCCGCACACCATTGACAGCAGAGCTAAGAAGAGAAATAAAAATATAACAGCATCGCTGATATATAATAGCACTTGCAAGAAAGGTGCATCAGCGGGGGCGTGTTGAATTTAGATAATGGCCTTAATTACCTAAACAAAATGGGTAACGATAAACCCCCGTGAGGAAATGCGTGATAATGTTCTAAACATTAGGCGTTTTCAGCTTAGAAAGAGGATGAGATATATTTTACGTCCAACTTACCGGCATGGAACATAACTTATTTTTAAAAAAAAAGCGACAAAGAGCTTCTGAAATGAATCCCTTGCGTGCATTTTTGCACAGACCAAACGAAGGTACAATGCAGCAATCTAAAGGATAACTTGAATGAAAAGGACGGAGGAACGCTCTCCCTGAAAAATGGCTAATGAGCTTACACACCAAGCATCACATCAGGCATGTACTCACGTCATGCTTGGTGACATATCGGAGACATAAGTTCTAGGCTAAACTTTTTTTTTTTCGACTGGTCACTCATCGTACATTGTAGTTATTCCTCATCTCTTTGAAAACAAGGCCTGCGCGCCTACAGGGTGACGTCAGTTCCCCTAGGCTCCCAACACCGCTGACGCCGTCGGATTATGGCAAAAACACTCGCGGATTAATAGCTTTTGTTCTGCTTTAAAATTACTACTTTGGTGGTATAGCCGAAACCCAAAATGTTCGAACATGGTTAAAATTGCGCACAAATAGAAAGGAACAGAGAAGAGATGAAGAGAGAAGAGACAAGCGCAAACTCACAACTCGATGTATTGAAGGAAGAAAAAAGAACAGCCCTCGGTATCAGCTCGAGCCGAGGCCACACTCGCACGGGGGCACCCGAGCACGTGGAGAACACACACCATCAACCACACTCAAACGACTGTAGAAAGGCTATTTCCCAGTCGGTTAAAGCCACAGAAGGATGGCTGACACAACGTTCGCCTAAGCGGAGTATACTAAAAGCTTCAAAAATGTGTGGTTGATGGTGTGTGTTCTCCGCGTGCTCGGGTGCCCCCGTGCGAGTGTGGCCTCGGCTGGAGCTGATACGAGGGCTGTTCTTTTTTCTTCCTTCAATACATCGAGTTGTGAGTTTGCGCTTGTCTCTTCTCTCTTCCCTCTTCTCTGTTCCTTTCTATTTGTGCGCAATTTTAACCATGTTCAATCATTACCAACTCGCCCAACTAGCCACTTTACTACCAAAATGTTCAGCATAAGTCGGCACCACGGTCCACCGATCTCGGTGTTCCCACACGGGTTGACCACCACCTTTGCCAATTTAGCTTCGCCTGCTTGAGCAAAGCGCCCGTAGACCATGATTCGAAAAATGAAAGACGTTTACAAATTTCTATAATGCGAAATTGGAGCGCAACTCTTGAGAAGGAGGAAGAAAGGGTACGGAGAGGAGGGTGTGCACCTTCTTCTGCTCCGCACCCTCTCCTCATCTCCTTCTCATCCTCCTCTTCCTCTCCCCTTCTCACCCAATTCAGTGTCCCCGCTAAATTTAGCGGGTAAAATGACGTCACATGACTTCGTGTCACGTACCTATGAAAAACTCAGCTTTTCCGCTAGTTTTAGCGGGAAAATTCGGTGACGTCAATTTTCCTGCTAAATTTAGCGAGGAAATTGTGTCAGCGCTAGATTTAGCGTACGTATTCAGTTTCTCCACCAATATTCCGCTAAATCTAGCGGAGCAGCTGAATTTGTCCTATAAATCTAGCCGAGAAACTGAATTTCCCCGTTATATTCAGCGGGGAATCGAATTGGTGTTGAGGTCAGGTGACGTCGAGTTTCCTGCTAAATTAAGCGCGGTTACGGCGACGCCGACGGCGACGCTGACGCCGTGAAACACGGAAACAGGCGCCTAACACCTGCGCACTGAGAAACAGTTGGTGTTTTCGGGAGCATGATAACTAATACAGAGCAATTTTCGCTTATTACAGTGACTAACTGGTCATCAGGGAAACTAATTATATTTAATTATCTGTGTTACCGTTTGCAGATCGGGAATGGTGCGGATAACGTGGATTGTGGTACCTCGCGGCTGCTTTCCATGTGAAAGTGGCTGGGAGGAAATGTTTCGATCGGAGCTGTGCGGGTGTAAGACACTGCGTGGGAATAATTGAACATTTTTATTTTTCTATATATATTCAAGATTTATAGTCAGTTGTTTTGAGAGGAATGGTTCATCCCCATTTGTTTGCCGACGTCATTGCAGATGCGCGCGTGAGCTCTATAGTTGACAACCTCGGGAATATTTTCTTCCCACACTCTTGGAAGAAAAAGAAAAGTCAGCAACTGCGCTTTTTCTTTTCCTTAAAGTCACGCGCCCCAAGCGCACGCGAGAAGAAGGGACGAACGAGATGCTTATCTCCTTCCCCAGGCAGACGTGAATCTCCATGTAGAAGACGTCAATCTCGCAGCTCAAACACTCAGAGTACCTCGGTAGCATTACCGCTTAGAACGCTAATTCTGCCAAACGAGGAAACGAAGCGGTTAGGAACAGCGAAGCTGCAGAGCAATGCCAGCAGGCTAGGTTTAGCTAAAATGACCGTATGACCAACTTGGCATTGAAATAAGCAGGTTTTCCTGCCGGGTGCCTGTGCGCTGCTCCGTTTCGAAACGGCCATAGGGGACAATATCGTCTCTCCCTTCTCGGAGGAATATCCTGCAGCTAGAAACGTCGGCCTTCGTTGAATTGTCGGAAGTCCGGGGAAAATACAAGAACAGTTTATTCTATGAATCGCTGGACCGCACGGTAAACCCTGTCACATTTAGCACTCATTATTTACCTCTATATGGCTACATCATTGGGCAAGAAACCTGAACACGCTATATGTCAGCATATCACTCTTACTCAGTTGCTTCCAGTGTATCTCTACGGGTGTGTTGCATATGTGTTCGCAAGAGGAACAGCACAAAGTTGTGCATTTTCTGTCGCCGAATCGAATTTCTGTCGTCTTATCGAATTAATTCGATTCGATTCGAATCGAATCGAATCGTAAGTCGAATTATCTTTGTGCAAAGCTTTTCCACCTCGAAGATGTCTCCCAAAATAAATATCTTAGAAATGATCGTCAGATATTTCAACCGGTTGGACGTACGATTAAAAGGTGTGTTAACTGTTCACACCCGTTTGCTACCGTGGCGACCAACTAATTGTCAGTTCGATTCGTAGAGGACTACGCTACTTTTAAATGGAGTTTCGCGTTTGATGCTCAAAGCAGGATACTTTTCATAGGCACGCCGCTCGGCTAGATGGCGCAAGTGGCGCTACTGGCGACGTGCGTGATCGAAAGCGTCGCTGTGATCGGCCTTCCACGATTGGCCAAATACTGGCTATGACGTCAGCGAAGGTTTTCTACCGACTTAAATAGGAGTAATGCAAGAATTTTAATTTTGACAGTGTTGGCAGTGTTGGTTTCAGATCGGAATGATTTCTAGCTTCCACAATGCTCATTTTCAACACGATCGAATTTGTTGTTCACCGGGTAATGACGTCACGAGAGGGAACAATACGAGGGCCCGACCAAAACATCTCGCCGCTAATACCTATGGTAGAAAACAAGTCAATTTCGTTATGCATACATTTCCTCTACATTCCGGACTTGCTGTATATCAATACGAAGCAATAAAGAAATGCATGCCAATCCGGAGGAGCAAGATAGGCTTCGCTTAAAGCCGCTACCGCCTGCATTTCTTTTCCCTAACCGGTGGAACATTGATGACGTCACCAAAAAAGCGTGCAGGCCTTGAATCTGTAGAAATTGTTTGCTTTCTCCTCAAGCGGTCATCGTCAAAGCTGACACAATTAAAGTTTCCGAACATCAGGACATAATTTCTATCTCGTGAAAGACTGAAATACAATAGACTAAGACTGTTACTAAGACTTCTCCAACAACAAACAAAATAATTTGTAGCGTGATGACCAATCTAAACTTATGCGATTCGTCGTTAGATTTTAATATATAGTGACACTGTTATATAACGAATCAAATTAATTACTTGAGCTGGCAATGTAACTTCATTATAAAAGGTCTCACGAAAACAGCCACAAGGTCTGTTTCCGCCAGCCAATATACAGTAGAGATCAACGTAAACATAAACGACCAAACGACGTCCGAAACAAACAATCAGGCCCCGCCGCCAGAAAAGAACTTTTACTCGAATGACTCAGCATGTTCATGTAACGAACTGTTTAGGTGATCATTCCAGCCAGTTATAATCAAGCCATATCCTGACGCTAATATCATCCAGCCAATAGGACAAGTAGAGCAGTGTGAAAAGCGTAAGTCAGTGGGCATTCTTAGTTTATGATTAGTTCACCGATGATAGAACGCCTATAGGATCATAACGAACATCATGATGGTGCCCTCTTGATGCTGTCTGATTAGTTCCATCAGTTCGTAGCGTCGCTTGCGTCTGAACTTCAGGCGAAACGAAGTATAGAAAAAATTGCGCGAGCGAGGTGCATTGAAATCCTTACAGCATCAGGAAAAGAATCATTTTCACTCTCAGTGTCACCACACTGTCGTCCGCGTGCCTTTACTCGAGCGAATTCAGCTTCCGATCTCGAGATGCGGTGGCCACTGTCGCTCGGTTGGAGTGTTGTGTCAGTTACCGAAAATGAGTAACGAAAGAGCTTCATTCGTTAATTCGTCAAAAATAACGTGTAACTGAGATTCGCAACCGTCCTGCAAATGTTGCAATATATTGTTTTCGCTAGCTACGGAAACTAACAACCGTTACTTTTGCGTTACTACTGATTTCGTGTTGTTTTTTCAGCGATAAGCCACGGATACGAACTTTAATATATTTCTGAATCACATTTGTAGATTATATACTTTTCTTAACTAAATTGGGAACCTCACAACGCAAAGAAAAATAATATAATATTCTCCTTTTTTGTCGAGGTTTGCTGAATGCCAATTCCTTCCATTTTTAAACAAAAACAGAAACAATTAGGGATGCCGCGAACTTTTTTCGAATCGAAGTTTCGATGATCGAATCAAGTGGTTCGAAAGGTTCGAAAGATTTCGATTTTTCGAATTGTCTATATCGTAAAATTCGACGGAGGTCGAATTTTCGAACTTGTTAAGCTAAGAAGTTCGACGCTTTTCGAACCGTCAAACTTATTACGCTAAAAAATTCGATCTTTTTCGAACTTTCGAACTTATTGCGCTGCAAGGTTCGATGCTTGTCGAACTTTCGAACTTGACTGACCAAAAAATTCGATGAATATCGATTTTTCGAACTTACTTATCAAGAGAATTCGAAAAGTTTCGAACTTTCGAATTCTGAAAAGTCAGAAGTTCGACGAACTTCGAACTTTTAGGGTAAAAGTTCGACGTTCGTCGAACTTCGAAAGACCGGCGGACGGTTTCATTTGATTTCAAGTAGTGGGGTACATTCGTAATTTTTTTTTCTCGAATTTTTACACGCGGTGCTGCGTTCCTTGCGAAAGACAATGTCGTTTATTTCAATGTTCTGGCATGCTTAAGTTTAAAGAAATAAATCCCCGAAGGGGCGAGGAAGGACGACGGGTTTTTGACGATTATCGTTTGTGCCAGATTTGAAGCACGCTGCAGCCGGAGCTATTTATGGTAGATATGTTATACTTTTTAAGAATGATCTATGTATAGCCTAGGTAAGTGCCGTCTTAAGATGTGATTATTGTTATTCAACGTGAGTTTCGAAGAAATGTCCAGACATGTATCTGCATGCAATTATGACCTAAACTTGATATTTATTTTCGTCTAAGTTGTTTGAGGTATCGCATTTAAATTAACACCACAGACAGTACATATCATTGCCATCTGCAGAATACAAAATAATATATTTATTGTTTTTTCACGTTAAGGAATAAATTCACTCATGGGAAAAGATTTCTAATAGTGTTCAAGTTGAGCACGTCATTAAAGGAAAACAATTTTTTTTCGCTTCACGTTCCTGGGACGTGTTTCTTTTAGCCTGTACACATTTTGGTAAAAGAAACTTGTTGCGAAGTTCTGAACCTCTGAATATGCAAGAATAGAACACTTCCGATGAATTCTTGATAGTTTTTTTTTTCTCCTGCTTTTTATTCTCGCATTTATTCTTTTTTTACTATCGGCACAGGTGTTTAGGTCGAAAAGACAGCTTTGAACTTCCGAACCACTAAGCATGTGACGAGCAGTGCCTTCTGACAGCGAGTTTCTAACAACGACCATCTACGCAACCTTTTATGCAGTGAAGAGCGACAGTAGCAATACATATGCATAAATAATTTCAGATTAAAATAACCTCGACCACGCCCTCTTTCCCCGTATTGTTTTTTTTAACAGTCCGAAATACCTGCAAGGAAGAGAAGGAGGCTGAAGCCCCCCCCCCCCTCCCCCCCCCCCCTCCCCCCCCCCCCCCCCCCCCCCCGCTACCCTCTTTCCCCCCGTTTTTCCTCTTCCGACGCCACTTGTATGGTAGAACGCTCCTCGACCTCAAGTTGTGCCGGCTTTTGTGCTTTTTGCGAGGCGATTCCTCCGTCCCAGAAAATAAACCTCCAGGACAATTATAAACTTCACCGGATCGGATTACTACCAGCGTGCAAGGGGTGGCGAGCTAGTTTGCCAGGTGGCTTCAAGGTTTTTCTGAACCTCAACCTCCTGCTCGCCCCTGGCCGTTTCGAACTGGATGAGTCTCGTAAAACAGTGTGTTCGTGCAATCACTACTGCGTGATGCAGGTTAAAGACCCCCCCCGGGGCTGGCGGTCACAATTCTGCACTGGCAAATATTCTAGCACGTCCGGGACACTCGTCGTCTCATTTAATTGCCCGACCAACTTCGCAGAATCTAGATATCACACCCTAACTTTTCTAAACTTGATTTTGTGAAAACCAGTGAGTCGTGAAAACGTTATTTGAAACTGAAACTGTGGAAAAACTTGAAAATCGGACTTCGAACTTTGAAAACTTGGATTAGAAAAAAATTCAAAATCATCGAAGTTTTTTTTTTGTTTTTTTTTTAATTTAGCGTTAAAAGAGAATCGAAACCTTCGAACTTTTCGAACTTTATGCAGAAAGAAATTCGAAATCTTCGAATTGTTCGAACTTCATGTCTATAAAAATTCGAAGCGTTCGAAGTTTTCGAATTTTTTTTCCAAAGAATTTCGAAATCTTCGAATTTATCGAACCTGAAGTAAAAAAATATTCGAAATATTCGAATTCGAAATTTTAGAAACCGTGAAAGCTTCGAAATTTTCGAATTCGAAACTCCGCTGTGGTCAAAAGTTGCGAATTTTTCGAAATCGAACCTCGGTCGGTACGAAAATATCGAAATTTTTCGAAATCGAACCTCAGTTTGCTTCGCAAATATCGAAACCTTTCGAAATCGAACCTAGGGTGGTTCGCGACATCCCTAGAAACAATATATTTTTAAAGTAACGTGTAACACAATTTGATAAACGAAACAATAAAACAGTAATAAAAACGGCTTACTCGGTTGTCAATTAGAAAACTAACGAGTGCGTTACTGCGTTCTCTCAAAACCTGCTGCGTCACAAGTAACGTCGTTACTTGCAATGCGTTACTTCCAACACAGCTCGGTTGTCGGCAAATTGTGTCAGCCTACGTCCATTGAGCCAGACGTGTGGAACCCAAGGACATCTGGCACGCTCCAGCGAAGGACTGAGGGTCGATTCTTTTGACGTGCAACCGAAATCTGGGCTACACGGCGCCATCTCAAAATAAGCCTCCTTGACATAGGAAACACCGCGGCCAACTTTACGCTGGCCAACTGCGGATCTGCAGGCAGACGCTTTGCCTGGGAGCTACCAAGGCGGCCTCCTACGTTCTTTAAGACTAGATCTTAGTTCTGCGAAAACCAATGTTAATCGGGAAAGAAATCAGTTGTTAAGCACAATGCTGTTATTTTAGACAGCTTTTCCGCACTTCGTCACTGTTAAAAAGTACCTGCTACAACAGCAATAGTCGGGAATGCTTGAATCATCATGGTGGCTTGTGAACATCCTAGTGGCACTTTATGAAATCATGTCCCTTTTCCTCACTTTTATAGTCCACGAAAATTCCCAGAGAGCAGTTGTCTGCACCCGTCGAGAAACAAAAGAGTACTGCATGGATATGATATTTCCAGACAATATTTTGTTTCCGACAAAACTTTTCTCTTTAGTTTTCGCTTTTCCTCTGGTTAAGATTCATAAAGCATGACATATAAATTGACAAGAAGGACCTATGCGTTGCTGAGGCTCTCTATATTGTTCCCGAGATGTCCAACATTTGCAGGTTTGGAAAGAAACCATCTATCTACTAGAAAGAAAATTCAGTGTGCTTTAGTTTGTTTAATCATGGTTATGGCTACGACCCACACGCCTCTCCTCTTTTCGAGCAATAAATATATTAAAATATCGTCCCATCTTCACATGTACACGTGTAAGTGACATTCACTTGCCCCCCCCCCCCCCTCCTCCCCTCCAATAAAAAAAAACTCGATTGCAAGGATGACATCTGATGTTTGAAGCAGACTATATATATCATTTTAACTCCGACGTGACCACAATTAGCCCAGGAAAAACAAATGTGTAGCTTTAACATTGGGATAAATTTGGGCATATAGACACATCTAACCCGCTTGGCCATTTCTAAACTTTCAAACTCTTAATCATACCTGATACCTCAGTGAGTAACTTTTAGTGCGTACTTAAGGAGATATTTCAGGGTGGGAAAAGGGCAGTCTGACAGAGGACACGAAACAACAAGTGCACAGACACAGTGCTGATTATCAACTGCAGTGAAGGCTCATTTCCCAAAGAAAAAAAGAAACAAGAACGGAGGGAAAAATGTGTAGGTTTCGACATTCCTCTATGGTTAGATCGAAACCGACATCCATACGGTTGGTGGTGCCTTATGTTCACGCCCTTTTCCACCAAGTCAAGCGTGTGGCTAACAGGTACAGTGTGCCAGAGGCATTTTAGGTGCCGCAAACATTATCTCGGCTGTGCACCGCCGTTAACCAGAGGTGAAACCCGTGAATCTCAATGTCACCCATCGCACGCCTTTGTTTCACGTGCCGCAGATGCTATGAACCCGATTTACCTCACTTTGTCATCTTCAGCTGAAACACCAGACACCCATTTTGAGCTGATTAACTTCCGGCTGTATAAGCATACGCACAACACAACTGCAATTTCTATTGTTATGTAAGCCAACCCTGATAGCCCTGAAAGAGTGCGAGATATTATTTGTTGAGTTGATGAATCGGGATCACCTTCGTCTGCATTGAACTGTGTTCTACATGTTTTGCGTGGTTTCGAGCTGAGTAACTGAGAAGTTATAGTCACCATACTCTATATGCGTCCGGTGCACATCCACCTGTGAGAGAAATTAATCACACGTCATTTTTCAGCGCTTCGCCCTCTTTTATCCATTATTTACTTCCCATCTCCATTAGTGCTCTTTTATATATGTATAGATATATGTTTAATGGCACCGCCATCATGAGATTCGCAGCGACGACTACGCCGTCTAGCGGCTTAAAACTTGATATACTGGCTGGTTCTGGCAGCACAGCTATCTCGGTAGGCAACGACACGACCTACTTTAATCCTGACCTGTCCGCAGAAGAATGTGCCAGCGCGGATAGTTTAGCACATGGCCGCGGCTGCAGCGTTACTTTACGCTACTAGTTCGCGGCCCAACGCAAAGCTTTTCCTTTTTCCTAGAGTATCCGCATATCAATCGAAGACGCACAGACGCGGCGGCCTTATCTGTCCCTGACCTCCTCTCCTCGCGAGCCTCGCGGGTCAATCGGTGGTCGCGTCAGAAATTCATCGCAGGAGGAGCCGGCTGTCAGCACAGTGACTATTCATGAGCATACCTCGGCAAATCTCACTTATGAGGGCCCTCACTCACCCTCACTCACCCTCATCTTCACAGCTGAGGTGAAGGTGAGTGAGTTTCTGAACCAGGAAAATTCATGAGTGTGAGGGTGAGTGAGGGCCGTGAGGGCTGTGAGGGCGGTGAGGGCCGTGAGGGCTGTGAGGGCGGTGAGGGCCGTGAGGGCGGTGAGGGCCGTGAGGGCCGTGAGGTGGGTGAGGGCCGTGAGGGCCGTGAGGGCCATGAGGGTCATGAGGGCCATGAGGGCCATAAGGGCGGTGAGGGCGGTAAGGGGTATGAAGGCCATGACTGCGTGAGGGGCGTGAGGGCGGCGAGTGGCGTGAGGGCCATGAGTGCGTGAGTGGTGTGAGGGCGGTGAGTGCCTGAGGGGTGTGAGGGCCATGAGTGCGTGAGGGCCATGAGTGCGTGAGGGCAGTGAGTGGCATGAGAGGCGTGAGGGCCGTGAGGGCCGTGAGGGCGGTGAGTGCATGAGGTGGAGTGAGGTCCATGAGTGCGTGAGGGTGGTGAGTCCGTGAGGGCCCCTTCAGATCGAGCACCTTTCTCAGCAATTTTGGTGTTAATGGAGGGTTGTTCTCTAGCTTTACCTAGATCGGCACGAATTGCTGAGATCGGGTCCGGCTCGAAATAAGCAAGCAACTCGGAGCAATTCGAATACGTTTGAAGCGGCTGCATCCAATCAGGGACGCAAAATTTTCACGTGATACCTCGTGCCGGTGATGATGACACCAAAAGACTTGATTCTGGTTTGAAATCGATCGTTTTTTGGAAATAAACTGTTTCAGAAAGGTGCATTAGTATTCATAACAAGATTTAAATGCACAAAAACACGTTTATAACGCGTAATTGTGTCTAAATAGTGCAAGAAAAATAAAATTTTATGATGACGATGGCAAATTGCAGCAATTGGTTGCTGCGTGCGATCGCGGGCGGCCCGTGTTGCTGGTGTTGCGACGTAAAGTTTCTGGGCGAAATTGCCCCATCTGAAGCTGGCCTGAGGGCCATCAGTGCGTGAGGGGCGTGACGGGTGTGAGGGCCGCAAGGGCGGTGAGGGGCGTGAGGGCGGTGAGTGGCGTGAGGGCGGTGAGTGACGTGAGGGCGGTGAGTGGCGTGAGGGCGGTGACTGGCGTGAGGGCGGTGAGTGGCGTGAGGGCCGTGAGGGCGGTGAGGGCCGTGAGGGCGGTGAGGGCGGTGAGTGGCGTGAGGGCTATGAGTGCGTGAGGGCCGTGAGGGTGGTGAGGGCCGTGAGGGCGGTGAGGGAGAGGGCGGTGAGGGCCGTGAGAGTGGTGAGTGGCGTGAGGGCAGTGAGTGGCGTGAGGGCCATGAGTGAGTGAGGGCGTGAGGGCCGTGAGGAGCGTGAGGGCCGTGAGGGACGTGAGGGCCGTGAGGGTGGTGAGTGCGTGAGGGCCGTGAGGTTCAGTGAGGGTGAGTGAAGGGCTGAAGGTGAGTGTGACTGTGAGGGTGAGGGTGAGTGAGGGGCTGAAGGTGAGTGTAGCTGTGAGGGTGAGGGTGAGTGAGGGGTTTAGGTGAGTGTGGCTGTGAGGAAGAGGGCGAGTGAGGGCGATTTAAGATGCCGACCTCTGTTCATAAGTGGTCCGAGAGCGCGCCTTATTTCGGCGATGGAGCATGAGCAGTCGGGGCATAAAAAAACGCCCGTGCGCTTCTGTGCCTGAGAAAGGTGCTCTTTCGATACAAGCAAACATAAGAACGATGTATCCTGCTACATTTCACTATTACTGAAACCTGCTGGCACTACGCTACGGTAGGTGGTCCCGAGAAAGAAATCACCAGCCGCGCGACGTGCTGACCCAGCGTAACACAGGTTCCGAACCAAGTTTGAGTCGAAAAAAAGCCTTTACCGAGTGTCCCCAATGGCAAAGCGACGCACTTCGTCGGCGACAGCCTCTTCCATTGGGGGCCATTCCTCGGACAGGTCAGGGTTGCAGCAGGGCGTGCACAACAGTGTGGGTATGGTGGGCTAGAAGGAGAGATGCGACAATCGCTCGCTTCCTCCAATGGCAGAAAACGGCGAGGTTGTTCCGCACGCAGCATTAGCGAATACTCTACTAGGGGGAATACATCCCACACCGCCCATTCGCTTTATACGGCGCGCCTACTCCGCGAATTTGTCCCCTGGTGGTGTAGACGTCTCACCGGTCGCGGTATCGCCAAGCCGGAAATTGGAGCATCCATGCGTGCCGCCTGAACGGCTTTGCTCGCGCGACTGTATCCCGTTCCTGTTCTAGATTCATGCCCCCCAAGTAAATAAAAGGGTATATCGTTGCAACCGCTCGGGATGGGCAGTTCGCTGCAGGTCTGCAGATTTTAAGTCGTCTCCAAAAAGCCTGGGCCGGACAAAACTGAGCCGGATTCTTTGCGTAAAAAACGTGTGTGTTTCAATCATTTTCACGATGGCGACTTTTTATTTACTTTTATTCACAATTTTATTTACATATACAGAGCTACGGAGTCTTCATAGATCGAAGAGATCAAAATCGCGAGCTCGATTTCTTAGAATGACTTTGTATTTTGTACTTCCCCATTGTGTATGTTTCTACAATGCTCACCCTAATCGAAGGTGAAGGCATCGTTTGCCAGTGCACATGACGGCAAGAGAATATTATGAGCTTGACTGTATCGCGGCTCTTACGGAAGGATTGAGCTGTCTTGTTGAGAAGATGTTAATTTGTGCAATGCTGGCTGCCCTGAGACGATTCATTGATATGAAATATTTTCTTGCCCAAAATCTACTTGGGAAGCTTTGTGGTAGCGTTGAAGGACGAGATGAACGCCGCCATATGTTTTATTCAAAGGTTCACGTACCGCATCACGTCCCGGTCACCACCTGCAGTAAACGCCTGTACACTCCATTTTATTTACATATTTACATCTGGAGACTGGAGACTGTCAGAGATCGAAGAGATCTAAAGCGCCACTACTTTTTCCAGTATTGCTCTTGTGCTTCGTCGTTCTTCATAGGCTATGTTGCGACAATATCGATAATAGAATCGCTCTAATTAGTTCAAGGTGTGTAGTTTTTATGTTTTTTTTAATAGCTATTTCTGCTGGAGAGAACCTTTACCCATCGCGCAAACGTAGAGATGTGGTATCGACCACTCCTGTCAGCC